TTGACTCCCCATTCTTTCAAACGCCATTCCTGAGAAAAAGCGGCCGCTTCTCCTTGGTGTTTGTTTTTGGTGTCTCTTATTCTGCAAAGCAGGATCCTTGGCACTGTGAAGACATAGGGACGGTCGATTCCTGTTTTCCGCAGCTCAATCAAACAAACTATAACTATACTACTTCTACTCTATTAAGGAAATGGCTTTTAGAGAGGAAGCTAAGGAGCTGTGCAAGGATATGGTTTCCTGCACTATATTACAGGCTTCCCCCTGTTCCCTACTCCATTATGGAAATGGCGCAAACTTGCTTTTAAAGACGGAGCTCCGGAGCTGCTGAAGGCATGGTTAGGGGGGGGACAAAGACGATGTCCGTTGTCTGGGGTCTGGTTTTTTGTTTGCTATAGGCGTCAAAGCCAGTCTTCTGGGCCGCCCGGGCGCACAGTGGCCTCCCGGCGCCGCTGCGCCATGAGCCGCGGCTCGGCGAAGAGCTGCGCGGCCGGGCTCTCGCGCCAGGCCCCGTCCGGCCTCGGACAGTCGGCAAGTCGGCGTCTGCGTCCGCTTCGCGCGCTCGGGGGTGCGGTCACCCTGACTAGGGCCCCCATCAATTGGTGCCCTTTGACCGTTCCTTTTTTGGGGGAGGGTTCTACTTGACTACTTAAAGGGGCGATCGGGTACGTCAGGTAAGTGGTTAGTAAGCATGGCTATAACCCACCAAAGCCATGGGGCCATGGTTATAACTCTCCTAAGTGAGACATAACGAGGCTTACTAAACACTTACTAAGTACCCCGCCCCTTTAAGCAGTGGAATGACCCTCAACTTGGTGCGAAATCGGCAGGGAATAAGTTGGAATGACCCGAGAAAAACTGTCCAGCTGGTGGTTTTTCCTGTCCCGACTGAGCATCAGCACTCCAGGAGTGATTTTGAGCCCAGCGAGCAAAACCATCTGTAGCGGTAGCGGGTTCCAAGTACAGGGTCCCTTGCAGGATATACCGAAAAAAAACCACCTACCCTCCAATCCGCAATCATGAACAATCAGATTAAGGGGTCCTGGAAGACTATATTCCTTTAAAGTGGACTCTCTGGTGCATTTCAAGAGTAGTTGATTCAAGGGAAACCCAGAGGCAAACCATGCATTTTCAGGTTCCCCTTCTCTGAAAAATGGCCAAGAGTGTTCTAAACCTTCGCTCGGCTGAACGCACAACGATGCATTGCGGTTTCCTCACTCGGCTTTGGTTGCGCGACGGGTGAGTGGGCCGGAGGGCCCTGGAAGGAACCTGCAAGTGGAGGTGTAACTCAATCGCAGCTGCGAACTGGCAACCAAAAACTAGACAATCAAAACCACTTCGGGTGTGTTCTTTTCCAAGGTCGGACCCCCCAAAATGGGAGGGAGGTGTTTTCCTTTTTCTGGTCCCTTCAAAGCCACAGAAAATGAAAGGTACCCTCCAAAAAGACCGACAACTGTGGGGTGTTCTTTCTCAAAATGGTGGACCACTTGGTTGGAGTTTCAAGGGAAACCCCAAAAGAAGAAGAAAAAACAAGTCGAGCACTTCGCGTGTCTTTTGTTGGTACCCTTTGCAGGGGTTAGTGCACAAAAAGCAAGCCCCATTGGCTGGTTGAACCGAGACGAGGCCAGTCTTGGTTGGCTGCATTTCGAAAAAGGGGGCGTTGGAAACCATTGGGGTATGTCTTAAAATAGAAGGGAGGCCCTCGAACATGGTAGTTGTCCCTTTGGCTTCCCTTCAAAACTACCTTGTTCAGTTATACACACACACACCCATATCCAGTTTGGCTTTGCCCGGGTTGCAGGTTGGACTTGCAAGCATGGCTTACAACCCCGGCAAAGCTCGCAATGTGATCCTCCCAAACCATCTAAGTAGTGGTTGTCTTTTCAGGTGTCCATTTAAATTTAACAAAAACAAAAAACACGGCACCCTCACAAAGAGACACATCCACCTGGACCCCCAGAGAACCGTTCCCTTTTTTCTGCCTTACCACTTCTTTGTGGGTCACTGAACGCCATTGACGAGTCTTCCACGTCACTCCAGCCCCACTCCCACTGCCCCACTCCTACCGCCCACCCCCGCAACCTCAAGGCAGGGTGCCCCGGTACCTTTATTCTAACCCTCACTTCCCAAGTTGACTGGCCAAAAAAAGATTGAACTTTTTATTTACCACTAAAATGGTCTTTCCAAAAAGTTCAAAGTCCACCAACTCAGGAAGTGAGAACCTCTCCACTGGAGGACCTAGCTGTATTATCCCTGTGCTCCGTCGCGTTGAGCCTGTGGATGGACGAAATCGGTTTGCACTTTGAAACTATGGTTGAAACCATAGTTCGGTTGTCACAGGGCATTCACCATTCCAGGGTTTCTTAGATCAACCCTGGCCATGAAACCTGTGGCTCGAAATTCAAGTTCTTCTTTGGTTCAATTCCCCGAGGGTCCAAGTACCTCATGAGGATGGCTTTTGGGTCAAAGTACCTCCTTAGGTATCAAGGGACCCTCTCAGAATGGACCCCTTGGGGCTCCATGGAGTCCATTGTTGCAGCGAGGCGCACGAAGCAGCGGCGGCAGGTGAGCGACGCCTCGAAGAAGTCCCGCAAGGCGCTGCCTCCGCTCGCCTGGCGACCGAGGGACCAAAAGGGGGGGGGATCCTGGACCCTCAGAATTCCAGGAACATTCTTGGGGTCGATTCCTTGTCCATTCTTTTCAACCATCGTTCTTTGAAAAAAAAAACGGATGCTTCCCCTGGGTGTGAAAAATGGTTTCCTGAAAAGAAGGATCCCTGGAAAGAATGGGGAAGGTACCCCTAGAACCATGGCAATGTTTCAGAGCAATGGCAATGTTTCAGACCCCAAATGGAATTGGGAAAAAGCAGAATTTGAAAGTTGCAACCCCAAAAGTACTGTTTTATGGGTAGTTTGAGGGTAATTGTTGGGTAGATTCCTTTTGTTTTGTATGGGTAGTTTGAGGGTCCAGGGACACAAAACGTGAGGGGAGTGGCCCGCACTCAAACGATATGTTTCATATGTTCAACCAATTTGTGGTCACCCAAAGCTTCCAAGAAAGACACGTGGGATACCCCATGTGGGATGCAACCACAGTGGCTCCCCTCGACCATTGCCAGCATTCAGTGGCTCTTTAAGGAGCTACCGCAATTTCCCCTTGAGCGCAGGAAGGTTTGGTGGTGGAAACCTTTGTGGACTCAGAAGTCTCCGACCGACCCCTCCAAGTCCAACCCCTTCGGACCAAAGTTTCAAGGTGGAACCCAAGCCAGAAGTAGACAAGTTGTTGTTGTTTTTGCCATGGGGATACCTGCACCCCCATGAAGTACACGAGTTGCCGCTGAGCGGCTTGCAAAACGACGCCCGTACCCTCAGCCCAAAGAACCAAGGTAGCCTCACATCGGTTGCACAAGCCACAAAGCACCAGGGCGCATCTACTTGCATGTCCGGCCATGTTAGTACCTGGAGTATCCATGATCCGAATCAAAAATAGGTCCATGAACCAATTATTTAGGGTAATGATGCCATTTTGTTTAAGGGTCATGGAGACTCTAGGTAAGTGGTTACCCAATTGGGGCTTAACCCCCGAATAACAAGGTTTAACCCCACTTCTGGCGACTTATGAGTGGGTTTTAACCTAGGTACCAAAAACTTCCTAACTGGGCGAATCGAGAGCCCAAGGGGGGTCCCTTTTCTTGTTTTTTTTTTGGAGTGCCACTAAACAGCCGGGATCTTGACCCCCGGACCCCCGGTCCAGCCGTATCAGAAGTTCAACAGAGGCTACTTGGTCGGCCAAGTCAGGAAGTGGTTGGCAACCTAGAACTCACCTACAAGTCCCAAGAAGTGTTGTCTTGGGTGCTGTAGATCCCCCAGCAAAAGCTCAACTGTTTGCTGGTGAAAAGGAATTATGAGGGGAATCCAAAAAGTTAAAAAGTCTAAAGATCCAACCCAACAGCAGTAGGGTTCTTATTTGTGTCTACAACACAATTGGCCAACCACTTGCCAGCTTGGCGAAACGGCGTCGTTTCAAAACAGAACATGAGCTCAAATGAGCCAACCTGTGCAGCTACTTTGACTCTGCCCGCCTTCAAACCACTTTCTTCTCACTTGCCCCTGCTGGGACCTGGAAATAAAAGGTGATCACGTTTTGGGACCTTTACGAAAAATGGGAACCAAAACCAAAATGGGAAAACCAAAAGGACATTTCAGGTCGAGTCGCTTTGGGCGAGCGAGTGAGTCTTACCTCGACTCCCTGACCACAACAACACGCTGCCAGAGAATCGTGCTACCCATGGGCTGTGGTTGAAATGGAATCCACGAATCTGTGATACACAAAGAGGGCGTTTCAAGGACTAACCCCGCATATGAGGGGGGAGATTCCCGAAAGTATCACAGAAGTGGTTGGATAAACCCTACCCCTATCCCCCCCCCCCCCTCCGCCCCCTTCAGCCTGCGCCGCAGTGGTCTGCAGCATGATCGGTGGAGCCCTGGCGTATCTAGCGGCTGGCACCAAGGCCTTTCAAAAATCCTACCAATCAAGCCTCTAGACGCAAGACTGACGCATGGCTCTTCAGCGCTTCCAAGAACTCCCAAGACGGAAGATAGCAATACACCACCACCACCAAAAGCAAGAGATGGCTCTTGCAAGGACTCTTAAGATGGAAGATAGCCATGAACAATCATCAAATGATTTTGAGGATGGTAAAGGCGCTGCAGCTTCGAGTTGCTCCATCGGCATGAGACATGTCATGATACTTAAAGGGGCAGCGTACTTCGGACGAGTGCTTAGTAAGTCCTGCTATAACCCACTTAGGAGACTTAGAACCATGGTGAGTGGGTTGTAATATCATCGTTGCTAACCGCTTACCTGACGTACCATGCCCCTTTAAGTAAGCCACCAGGATGTGGACCACAGGTTTTAGTGGTTGGTTCCATTTAACCCATTTTTGAGACTACCCGATTTTTGACCACCACAGCCATCGGCGTTTTGTGAATTGAGTCATCTGTTCACAGCTCGTGGCTCGACCGAAGGGTCTCCGAGCCCGGCCCACGCCTCACTCTGAATTGCTGCCACAGCGACTCGAGCACCGGTGGCGCGTAGTGTGTCTCAGCGAGAGAGGGGGGGTCGGGGGGGTGGGGTTGGGGAGGTTTTTGGGAGGTTTTTGGGGTGGGGGGGTGGGGTTGGGGGGGTTGGGGGGGTTGTGGGGGCGAGGGGGCAAGGGGCGCTTTTTTGACAACCCAACTCCTGACGCGTGTTGCGGATGCTTCTGCTTTTCGGAGGTCCATGATGCCCTTGTTGCCCAAGGACGGGGTAGCTTCCCTGCTGACACCTCCAAACCATAAGGTTCCGGGCAGCTGTTGTCACGAACACCGATTTTGCCAAACCGTGTGTCGACCACGTATACACGTGCACAAAGGTGGGTGAACATCAATCTCCTTTTGGCTCGAAGAGGTCTAAAAACGGAACCTCAGAAGCCGATTCGCCGAGCGGGACAGTGGGCCGACTCTTGGGCATCAATGGCTTCCCAAACCGAGAACGTTTCCGTTGGATTCGCTGGCGAATGGGAAGTCTCTCAGTGACTCAGACCAACATTGTAGGACACCACCGCAAGCAATTAGGTGCTGTTCGACGTAAAACATACTTGGATCACATTGATCCAGCAATCCGATTGCTGCAAGCAGTGTGTCAGAGCTCTTTGGGCTAGAATGGACCAACAAACTACCCTGAAGAAAGGGACATCCTGGACCCTATTCTTTTGGGGCAAACATTTTGTTCTGGAGCCCCCTCATCAACCCCAGCTTCTTCATCTCCACTTTTTAAACCCGGGCCCCCCCATCCCAATTAATACACTGGGATTGACTAACCTGAGGTCAACATCAGGTTCCAGGGCTGGTCAACATCAGGTTCCAAAATGGAGACCTGGTAAATTCGGCACTTTCAACGTTGATTCATCCCCACTTTTCTTACCCAAAGGCACCTCTCTTAAACAAAAGTACCAGCTGGGATGGATCTTTTCTGAGGTCATCCATCCCCACTAAACCCAAAGGCACCTCATATATATATATATATATGTATATATTATTATTATTATTATTATTATTATTATTATTATTATTATTATTATTATTATTATTATTATTATTATGATTCTCTCTTTTTTTGAAGAAAAGACAAAACAACAGCTATGGATGGATTCATCGGTCATCAGGCCAACCTCAGGTCCCAGGGCTACTGCGCCAAATCGACTTCCCAAGTCGACTTCCCAGGTCGACGTCTCTCCCGCGCGAATTCGCGCGCGAATTCGCGAAGGCGAAGGCGCGCGCCTCCGCCCCGAGGAAGGCCAGGCACTGCGCCAGCCGCGCCTCGTGCCACCCGAAGGGCGCCGCCTCAGCGAATCGGTCCCCTCCGACGGCTCCCCGGCAAATCTCGGCCCCGATCTGAGCGGAGAGAACCAGCTGGTACCGCTTCCTTTTGTCTCGTTCACGGCTATGTTAGTAGGGAATTGAACCCTCCCAACCAGAAAAGAAACGGTAAAAGGGCACTGGGGGACCTGGAAATGGAAGAGCTGATCAAACAAGAAGACATATTTTTCAGTAGTGAGATCGATTCCCTGTCAAACCAACAGGGGAAAAAATACGCTTAGGTGATATCCCCAACAGCATGCGGTGCTCTTTTCAGTGCTCGCACCACCCCGCAGCCCTCGCTGTGGAACCCTGGTGGAACCCTGGTGGAACCTTGCCTCAGGGCCGCCCCGGACCACCCAATTCGGAGCCTATCTGGGCTCATCGACCCCAAAGCTTTCAGCTGTTGGGGAATAATAAAACACAACCTGGGACCTGGAGTCTCCTTCTGACCGTTCAATCCAAATAGGTCCATGCCCCACCATGCTTTAGGGGAATGACCATCCATTTCTGAAGGGTCAGAAGGTGACTCTACACGAAACACATCACTGGGTGTCACCAGTTTTGGTTTGTGTTGGTTCCAAATAGCCCTTCAAAGGCCACTCAAAAGGTCCCAACAAGTTTTAAAGTGAAGGGCCGACAGGTCCTCCCATCAGAACAGGACCGATTGCTTCTTTCTGCCTTACCACCTTTCATGTTGGCAGAAAAACAACAACTTCAATGAAGGACGAAGGCTTTAAAGTGAAAGATGCACGCATGCACCTGCATGTTAAGCGTCAGCAATATGTGGACCGAAGCAAAATCCTGGATGACTTGCCGTGCAAGCCCAAGCCCCACAAAGAGGGGGATCCTCCTTGAATGGGGAAAACAGATTGATATTGCGTGATAGATCCACTCACGGATCACTAAGGTCCAAAAATAACTTTCAAGTTTTTAGCACTGGTTGGTGGCTTTGAACCAAACATGTGACCCTCCCATCATTGCGAACTTGAAAGAAACGAGACCCAACTCATTGACGCCCCCACAATTGTGGTGTTCCTCTTGGCTTCCCTATTCAAAAAGAAAGAGAGACAAGCAACAAGAAGTATGTCACCCTCAGAAAAAAAAGGCACCCTCAAACAAACAAAAACGTACCAACTCCGAGAAAAAGAAGACAAAAAATCTAGGCCTCGGCCAAAAGCGTGACGTCTCCAAGCGCGCGAGAACGCGAGCGGGCGCCTGGTAATTGGACGTGGTGTCCAGCAAGCTGAGACCTGCGAGGCTCCGAGGGCCAAGCCGACCAGAACGCGACTTCCAGCGGACGTCGCTTTTTTGGGTTTGGAGCAATGGGCGAAGGCGAATTAACTCCGGCAGCGACCACCTGGCTAGGAAAAAAGGTAGTTCGAAAAGAAAAAATAACAAAAACACATGAATTTACAAACAAAAGCAACAGCAAAATCAACCGATATATTCGGCTAACAGTTCTCTGCCGTGGACAACGATATAAAAAATACCAGCAAAGCGAGCGAGCGCCACGCGCCGTTTTTTCCCTGGTACGACTTCGAGTTCAGTCAAGGCCCACTGCCGCGGTGTTCCGATCCCCGGCTCAAGGCTCTTAACTCGTGGGTTAGATGGACACGAACCCAAACTCGCTTGCCCCTGCTGGGACCCAGAAATCAAAGGTGATCACCTTTTGGGGCCATGACTAAAACTAGACCAAAAAGGAGAAACCAAAACCAAAACCAAACCAACTCAAAACATCTAACAGCCTAAATTCAGAGGGTCCCTTGGTACCTCATGATGGCTTTTGGGTGGTAAAAAGGGGTCGTTCAGTACCTCCTTAGAAGGTACCAAGGCACCCTCTGGGTAAAGGGATGGCAGGGCACGGAAATTGGAATCCAATTTCCAAATGCCACAGGGAGAATCCAGTGCGGTTTAGCATACCTCTGTGGAACTTCTCAATGCTTGACCTCCCTTGCGACGTGGCCTCACACTAAATTTGCCCTTTGTGCACCAAGTTGCAATGGACCATGAAAGCTTTGAGTATCTGCGGTCCAAATGTGCGGTTCCAGTACAGGACTGGAAAAAGCGAAATTGAGTAAGTCCCCCAATGTACCTGATTGAATTGACTTTCGACACTTTGGCTGAACCTACCTCAAAACTGGTTTGTTTGGTTCATGTCCTTTGCGCGGGTCTTTGGTGTCACATTGCCATAGTGTGGGCAGTCGTGCAGAGAGCCAGGATATGGACGGCAGGTGTTGGTCTACTTTTCCATTTTTCAGGGTTCCATTTTGGGCAACGATCCCTATTTTTGAGCCAAACCCATATGCAAAACTTCTGTGTGCCATTGGAGCTGATGTCACTGAAACACTTCCTGCGGTGCTGGCTGTCAGGATCTAACATCCCAAGAAGGCAGTTGGATGCGAATGACCCGGTTTAAACTCACGGCACCCATGGAAAGTCCGCTTCTCTCTGATTGGTGGTCTAGATTGGTGGTTTGGTGGTTTGGTGGTGTTCCGGGATGGCTTCCCATTGACCCTCTCTAGAATGAGAACTCTGAACCGGCCCAACTTGACTTTGCTGGTGCGATAGGTCAGGAATGACCCCTTGTGGGTGTTGGTTGAACGAAACCGGTTTTGGGGATTCCCTATAGGAAACCTTCTCGGGGTCATTCCAACTCATGTCGCAAATGAGGCTTGGTCCAAATATCGAACTTCTAATCAATCTGGAGGTCCCAGCCAATGTTCGCGAATTTCCCAAACCTCAGAGTCATGTTTTTTTCAGCAATTGTTGGTTGGTAAAGGGAAGCCAAAAGGAAACCCGCCATGTTCAACCAACAATCACTGGATTTCCCCTCAACAGTTGCGACTTGACTGCCAGTTTCCATTGACATTTGCCACTTTATCAGAGATAGACAAAAAAATGAAAACCGGGAACTCAAGGGGCGCCATGTCCGGCCACCCCCGTGGATTCCCTTACAAAGACCGCCCCCCCGTCTTCCCCCCGTCTTCCCGGCCTAAAGGCTCCCGGCGCAGCACCCGCAGCGCCGCCTCGCAGCCGGGCCTCGGAACTAGCCGGATGGCCGACTCGGGACAGCGCCGAACCAGCCGGATGGCTGCGAAAATCCGTGCAGCGCACCCAGGAAAGGGGAATATTGAACGACCCCCAACGACCCAAGAAACGAGACTGCGGATGGCTGCGCCCAAGAAACCCACTTGAATGAACGAACCACTGATATCGGCAACCACTTGCGCATGGACAAACTCCTGCAGTTGGGATGGATGAAGCAAATTCTGCACCACCCAAGAAACCCAAGGGAATGAGTTGATTCCCATGTAAATACCAGGGTTTTTGAATCAAGGGAATATTGATCGACCCCCAACTGACAACCCAAAAGGGGGTTGATCAAAAAGGTCCTTTGCCATAGGATGATCATTGGGAAAAGCCACAAAACACATGATGTCCCACTCAATGAGAAAAAAACAAAAAAGAAACATGGTCATTTGGGCGCCGAAGGGAATGTTGATCGACCTGCAACTGACATCTCACAGGAGGCTATGTATGTGTTGGAACCACAGCTGAAACGCTCAATACCAAATGACTGGTTCTCAAATGGTCTGGGAGTAGTCGCTCAATGTAACCCGTTCAGGGAACTTACAACCATTGCTTTGGTGGGTTAAAACCAGCGGAAATCTAACCATTTAGCGATTCCTCCCAAACCATCTAAGCATTCTCCCATAAACCATCCAACTGGTGGTTTCCTTTGAGGGGACCCCCGGGTGAAAATTAGCTCCTTCCCTACTTATCGCACCAGCCAAGCGATTCAACTCCCAGAGCGTCGAAGTGTGGGAAACAACCACGCTGCGATCCAAAAAGAAAGGCCAACAACGCGCCCATCAGCACTCAAAACCTGCCTGTTGGACAGAAAACGACATGGAGGGAAACCAGTGATCAGGGCCATTTGGCCATGGGTCATAACCTATGCCTCCATTTTGGGGCGGATGAACACCCATGTACCACCTATTCTGATGTTCACCAGGGCTACAGGGTCATTTCCGTCACGGGAATGAGACTTAAGTTTGCGGAGCAAGGACAAAAGGAGCGCTGTCATACTGAAGATGGACGAATTCCGCTTCGCACCAGGTTGGCATCAATCAATTTTGAATCCAAACATAAGTGGCCACCGATCTGAACTGATGCAGAGCCACACAAAGGGGTGGATAAACCACCGACCTCAACTGATGCGAAGCGGACGAATTTTCCATCCACAACTGCGGGCTATTTGGCTATGGGTCAAAACCCCGTACCCCCAGTGAACGTCCCAATTTCCCCGCTAAAATAGACTAAAGTACTCGGTTGCTTCCTGCTCCCCTGCTAAAAGTTTAACTTTGAGTGGTTTAATTTCACAAACAAACACATTTGTTGGCAAAAAGTTAAAGTCCTCACATCCAGGCAAAATGCACCAAAGAAAAATGAGTGGTAAGTTCACCTACCAACCAAAATGGGATCCCATTGGTGCTGACCCACGACCGGCCAATCTTTTTCGACTCCGTCCGGCTTCTGGGCCAGCATATACACCTGCAAAGGCCAGTGGGAGTTGCTGTCCCGGAGCAAGTCCTCCTGGCCGGAAAAAAAGAAAAAGAAAAACAGGACAAACAAAAAAACAACAACTACCAAAAAAATCAAACACACACAAACACAAGCAACCACCAAAAAAACAACAAAAATAAACAAACAAAAAGCAGTTGGGACCGCGGAAAGCTGAGCGGTTTCCAACTAACATGGACTGGAGGACCTGGACGTACCGATCGGATCGCCCCTTTAAGTACCTCAGGGCCGCCCGGGACCAATTCGGAGCCGATCTGGGCTGAGACCCCAAAGCTTTCAGCTGTTGGGGAATAATAATACAACACATACCTGGAGTCTCCTTCTGATCCGAATCAAAAATAGGTCCATGACCAACCATTATTTAGGGTAATGACCAACTAATTTTAAGGCTCATGGACACGCTAGGTACTTAAAGGGGTGGAAGGTACTTAGTGGGTAGTAACAAGGGTTATAATCCACTGAATGGAGACCCATAACCATGGTAGTTAAGTGGGCTATTTCACCATGGTTGTCCGATTCCAACATCTGCAATTTATGATCCCAAAGAACAGGACCAACATCAAGGGCTTGCGCCCGGATCAGTGAGCTCGCCACAAAACCGGCAAACATAGCATAGGGTTCCTTGTAGCTTTGTGCCAAAATAGGGAGACCCTGAAACTGATGCTGTTGCTTTTTGTTTGTTGCCCAGAGGACCCTGGAAGTAAAAGGCTCACCTTTTCGGGCCACAAAGATGGACCAACAAGGGGAACAAAAAGGTCAGAAGGTCGATCCGCCTTGGGCAGGTAGTTCTTGAACCCATTTTAACGACCACCCCTCCAAAGTAACACACCACTACGAAGGGAATCGTCAGGCGAAGCTAAGCAGGTGAGGTCCAAACAAATACAGGGAGGTTATTTTATTTTTATTTTTTGGGGGGGGGTACTTGTTGTTTTTTTGGGGGGGTATTTGTTTTGTTTGTGGGGGAGGGGTATTTGCTTTGGTTTGGGGGGGTCTGGTTGCTTCTTGTTGGGGGGGTAATGTGTTCACGTGCGCGGGAGGGTGTGGTAAGATTGTCCAAGCGGGGCATGTTTTTTGTCGGGTCAGAGACAGCCAGGTTCACGTTTCGATGAATCGGCCGACGTCTTGGATTCCCAAAGCAAGATCAGCGATGGGTCACACATGACAAGTTCAGCGACGGCTCGTCCCATGAGAAGAGAGGTTCTTCACTTCAAACCCTTGTGGCAAAGGATACTGACTTCAAACCTTGCTATTGGCGGTCCCCTGCGATAGCTATGGAGGTTCAATTCTGGGTTTGGGGCACAGGTTCCAGGAAGGGCTCCACTGAAGCTCCAGCAGGAATACGATTCCGCACTTGTGGAGATTTACCCTCGAAGCTTTGTAAAGTAGGGTTGCTACATTTCTTGCCTCGGTTGAAAGCGAATCGACCTGAAATGACCTTTCGGTTTTTCAATTTGGGTTCAGGTTCTGCCTACTTCTTCTCAAGCACCCCCAACTTTCCTCTGATCTGCTATCTGGACATTCCCCTATGAAACTAACAAACAAGGGAACTCTGCGCGTTCTGAAGTGGACACTGGAAACCTGTGGATGTCAAAGGATTCCCTCATTTGCAGACCTTTCAAACCACCTGGACCCTCAGAACACCCTTCAAAACGGGGCATTGCCCCAAAAGTAGGCTAGCTCCTCCAGTAGAGAGGTTAGAATAAGGCTACCCACTTTTTTCTGTACATTCAAGTAGGGGAACCCTCCCCCAAAAAAGAAAACGGTCAAAGGGCACTACTGGGGGACCTAGTAGATGTCAAATTCCCGCATTTCTGGGCAGTAATTTATAGTGGTTTAAGGTTTAATACGGAAAACGCATTAGTTGGAAAAAAGTTACAGTCCTAACATCCCTTGGCATGCTCAGTCCTGGTGCCAGTAAGGCGTCGTGAGGCCCAGCAAGTACCCTGCCGTCTCCCGCAGGGTGCCAGGCGCATAGACTTCCAAGACCTGCCCAAAAAAGCGCTCGCGCTCGTGAGACGCGGGAGTGCGGCTATTTTTTTGGGTTGGTGCAACTCATCATTTTTTTTTTATTATTTTTTTTCCGGGGGGGGGGGGGGGGGGGGGGGGCAACCCATCATTCTAGGGGTACCTTGCTTTTCCATTCCTTTCATATTTTTTTGGTGGGGAGGGGTGTTCTATTGGTACCTTCCTTTTCCATTCTGTCCAGGAATCCGTGAAAGAAAACCTCCAGAAACCCAGGGACGACGGCTGGTTTTTGAAAAGAACGGTGGTTGAAAGGAATGAGGATCAACCCCTAGAATCATGTGAGTGCCTCAGGATTGCGCAGCTGAGCTTGTCTCTTAAAGAACCCTCCAATGGGTGGTTTGCGAAATCTATTTCGCACCGAAGTGATTCGATGTCCCTTTTCATACCAAAAAACAAAACACCAAAATCCATTTTGGGGGTTCAAACCCAACTTGGATGCTTGGCCAAGATAGTAAGTTGTTAGCAAGATGTGTTGGGTTACCCCCTAATAACAAGCTTAAGGCTTCTTTTGGCTTAGCAAAGTCCAAGGTGATCATCCAATTTGCTTGAGTCCCCTGGACATACACACAAACAACTCGTCATTAAGCAATCCACTGCCCTTGTGATCAACGGGCAGCAGGAGAGGAGTGCCGATCGACCTGGAGCCCAAATGAAACCCGAACCCCCCTCCCCAGTCGACGAACCGGTAGGGCAGCTTGTTCAACCCAGGTCCTAGGATTCACGTCTTTTCTACTACTCTGACAAAGGGCAACGCAACCATAACGTGTGTGTCTCAAAATGGTTGTCCCCTAAAATGCTTGGCTGTTGCTTGGCTGCTACTTGTTCTCTAGCAACCAGGACTGGTCCAAAGACCCACACAGTTGCCTGATGCAAGCTGGAATCAACCGAGACTAAGTGAGTCACAATCAAAACCTGGTATTAAAATGGCCTCAACCAATGTGAACTACATTCTGGCGGAATCCCGCACCGAGCTTCTGGCGACTATGTCCCTCAGCCTTCATCAATCCCTGAATCGGTTTTGAGCACGCGTCCAGTCGCCCATTTTTCCGCATCCCCAGCGGGTCCCTTGGTACTTTTTAAGGAGCTACCTAGAATCCAGGGATCCTTACATTATACACCTGAACATTGCAACTTGTAAATGGAGTGGTTTCCAGTTCTTTATTTGGGTCTTGAAAAAGCCAGCCATGTTTCAAATGGTGGCAAAATGAATTTCTTTTAAGGAGCCCTGTAGAAGACCCCAAGTTTTTCTCCGCCCTTTTAAGCCATGAGGTACCAAGCAACCCTCTCCGGGATCCCAAGCGCCTCCCCCCGTCCCTCGCTGGCGGCCTCAAAGCCGGCGTCCTCCGCCAGGACCCGCGCGCCGCTCGGGGTGTAGCGCCAAAAGTCCTCCGAGCCGCTCGCGCGGGGCGCTCGCGCGGGGCGCGAAGGGGTGTGGTCTGTTTCCCTGTTTGGTGGGGCTTCAAAGGAACACTTCAAGGAGAACCGCATTTTTTGGCGGGATAGCCCAAAAAAAGGACACATGCTTGGTTGGCTCGGATTGTGCTTCCTGTTTCGCCGCTTCCCTTTGATTTGATTTCCTTGTGGAGGAGACTCGGGCAAAGGACCTATCAATTGTGAATTGTGAAATGGTTGGTTAACCTATTGAATTTAGGTACAAGAAAAAAACAGGTGGCCCAGCATCTTCCAGTAGGTCAGCTTTTTGCTTGGGTTAGGTACCAAAACCTCAGTAGGTCACCTTACCCCGTCTGGGTCAGGACAGACAACAACAAAAAACGCCTACCCAGATGCTCATGGACCGGGTCCGACCCCAAGGGACAGCCCAGGGCCCAAACAGCCCATGCCCGGGGAGTCGTGAGCCTCTGGGTAGTTGACTTGAGGAAGTGGGGTTCCCTCCCCGAAAAGTGATAAATACCCACTGAAACCAGGGGCACCCCCATATTGACAAACAGGGGTGTATTAATCCCGGGACATTCGTTGACTTGAGCAGTGCGTCTTTGGGTAGTTCACTTGAGGAAACACCTTGGGTTGGGTACTAAAAACCTCAGTAGGTCACCTTCCCCCTTTCAGGTTAGGGGCGGAAAAAAAGTTAAACGGAAAATCGGTTAAACTAAAAAAAACACATACAAAAACAGTTAAACGAAAAAGGAAGAAGAATCAAAAACACGCACATCTAGCTAACTTGAGGGTGGCTTGAGGCAGGGCTTCTTCTCCCCAAAACTGCCGGGCGTATCAAAAAGTCGAGGCGGGCGGGCGTATCAACCCGTTGCCTGGGGAGCGCCATGGATCTGACTGAAGAGAGGCGCAGAGAAGACCAGGTACCTCCCACGATCCGATTTTTTCAGGATGTGGCTCAAAAAAGTGGTTTCAAAATGGCACCTTGGAAGAATTTGTCAGGTGGATGTGGCTCAAAAAAGTGAGGGAAAATGGAACCAAAGCCTAAAACTTGCGCTTTGCCTTAGCTCTTTCACTTTCAGCAATACGAAGGTGGATGTGGAGTGGGATGGGGGGGATGTGGGTGTGGCTCAGAATTAAACAGCAGGGGCAAACCGCAGGTGTTGGTCCATTTTTCCACTTACCAGGCAGGCCATTCTGGTACCGGCTTGTTGAGCCACAGCCATGTGGATGGAGTGGTGGGTGGATGGGGGGGCTATACTAGGAAAGTGCATTCTGGGAAGTCAAGGGATTGGGTTTAGGGTGTCAGGGGCCGAAGGAAGTCCCTTTGGTGGCTTGAAACTAAACAAAAGATAACAAAATACGACACTCCCCTTGGTGGATTGAAACTAAACAAAGAAAACAAAATACGACACTCCCATTGGTGGATTGAAACTAAACAAAGAAAACAAAATACAATACTCCCTTTGGCGGCTTAAAACTAACAAAAGATAACAAGATACGACACTCCCTTTGGTGGCTTGAAACTAAACAAAGAAAACAAAATTCGACACTCCCTTTGGTGGCTTGAAACTACCCAAAGAAAGCAAAATTCGGCACTCCCTTTGGTGGCTTGAAACTAAAGAAAGAAAACACAATTTGACACTCCCTTTGGTGGCTTGAAGCTTTAAAAACAAAAACTAGATATGACAGTCTGCCTTTGGTGGCTTGAAACTAAACAAAAGATAACAAAATACGACACTCCCTTTGGTGGATTGAAACTAAATAAGACAACACAATACAACACTCCCTTTGGTGGCTTGAACCTAAACAAAGACAACAACATTTGACACTCCCTTTGGTGGCTTGAAACTAAACAAAGAAAACAACATTCGACACTCCCTTTGGTGGATTGAAGCTAAACAAAGAAATCACAATTTGACACTCCCTTTGGTGGCTTGAAACAAAACAAGATAACAAGATACGACAGTCTGCCTTTGGTGGCTTGAAACAAAAAAAAAGATAACGAGATACGACAGTCTGCCTTTGGTGGCTTGAAACAAAACCAAAAATAACAAGATACGACAGTCTCCCGTTGGTGGCTTGAGACTAAAAAATATAAAACTAGATACGACAGTCTCCTTTTGGTGGCTTGAAAGGCAACAAAAGTAAAAAAAAAGAACATAAAGGCCAAACAAGGGTCTTTGAAGTTGCAGGGACCCAGGCCCCCTTGACTTGGGCCACACGTTCCGCGAAGTCTTCCGGAGGTTTTCAGGCTCTTGACCCAGCACTCGGAAATGCGCCCGACTGATCTAAGGGTTGACGGTTCACCTCAACGGTCACCATACTGTGGATGGACGAAATCCTTGACCATGGAAAACCATTGTTTGTTGGTGTTTACAGAAGAATCATCATTCCAGGGTTTCTTGGGTGGTGCAGGATTTTGTTCATCCACAGTACTTCCCAAAAGACCTGAAAATTATCTAAGGGTTGTTGTATTACACCGACTGGGTATTGACCCCAGAACGGAGAAACACTCGGTGATTTTGAACCATTCTGGGTCTTTTTCAAATGTGTAATTTCAGGGTGTAATACCAAAACCCTCAGAACTGAGTGAAAAGTATACCATGGCGATAAGAGCCCACACTAATTTGCTGGCTGTTGCTCCAGCTGTTACCATGAACGCCGCAAAAGTATCAATCCATCAGGTCACTTCCTGGACCCCAAAGGACCAATTCCGCTTTGCGGCCGTTGTGCCACTTTTCGTTGGGTCAACTGCTGAAAAGAAGGAGCTGATTCGGGGTCCAGGTTGATACTCACCGTGTTCAAACTTCAGCATGCAGCAAACAAAGAACTGGGAACTATTGTTTTTTGCTCGAGCAATCAAGGGGGTCTTTTTGCCAGCTTGCGAAAATGATCGACCCCTCGTAGTGAAGGATTCCTTTTTGAGGGGGTCGCCAATTTTCTCGCAAAAGGTGGCAAGAAAAGACCCCCCGCGAGCAACTGCCTGACTCTGGGAAAGTCTTTTTTCGGTGGCCGTTGGGCGATGGAACCAACAAACCCACCAACAAAGGAGTCTTGAGACCCCCCCCTGTTGGATTCCATGTTGAAATTTTGTAGGGTGGGTGTTGCATGGCTGGCCCTTGCAGCCGCAAATCCGCCAAAACCGGTGGCTCCATGTAATCTTCCCTCCCGGCACTTCCGATTCCCCGTGGCAGCATAACATGTATGACGGAAGGGCCGTTGGGAGTATCCCCTCTCTCCACACCTTACGCCCCAAATGGGTGAGTCGTTTCTTACGGGAACTCACTCCCCAGAAAACAACGGCACAAAAAGCAAACAAGTGTTTCTCTCTTTGGCCATGGGTCAAAATCCCGTACCCCCAGTGAACATCCCAATCCCCCACACAAATGGACTAACATGGGTGGTGCGCCTACCCCGAAATGGTACCATTGGTTTCGACAACCACAGCCCTTTGGCCTCCCTGCAAAACTTTGTCCCAGAACACGCCGCGGCTTCGGAACTTCGGTTCCAGCCCGCCGAACAAAATATGCCTTGGGCCGCGCACCCGTTGGGCGCCAGCAGCCGAAAGATCTGCTGCATGGCGACGGTGGGCCGCTGCAGGTGCTCAAAGACCTGCCGCGCAATTAGGTCACCTGGGGGATGGGGGGAACGGGGGGGGGGGGGGGGAAGGAAAGGAAAGGAGAAAGCTGCACACTTCCAGGAATTCTGCAGCTCCGGGAAAGGAAAAGGAAAGGAAAAGGAAATGAAAAGGAAAGGAGAAAGCTGCACACTTTCAGGAATTCTGCAGCTCCGGGAAAGGAAAAGGAAAGGACAAGGAAAGGAAAGGAGAAAGCTGCACACTTCCAGGAATTCTGCAGCTCCGGGAAAGGAAAAGGAAAGGAAAAGGAAATGAAAAGGAAAGGAAAGGAGAAAGCTGCACACTTCCAGGAATTCTGCAGCTCCGGGAAAGGAAAAGGAAAGGACAAGGAAAGGAAAGGAGAAAGCTGCGCACTTCCAGGAATTCTGCAGCTCCGGGAAAGGAAAAGGAAAGGAAAAGGAAAGGAAAGGAGAAAGCTGCACACTTCCAGGAATTCTGCAGCTCCGGGAAAGCAAAAGGAAAGGAAAAGGAAAGGAAAGGAGAAAGCTGCACACTTCCAGGAATTCTGCAGCTCCGGGAAAGGAAAATGCTGTAAATGCTGTAAAACAAGTTCAAATGCTGCTTTTACTGGCCAAGAAGAAAAACAAAACAACATCCCATGTAAAGGACCTTTTGATCAACCCCCCCCCCCCCCGCTTAACTCAGTTGCCCAAAGGACCCAGAAATATAAGGTTCAACTTTTGGGCAACTAAACATGGACAAAAAAAGTGGAACACTAAAAGGTCAAAAAGCTCGATTCGCTTTGGACAAATAAATTAAATCCATCTTCATCAGACCTTTTGATCAACCCCCCCTGCTTAAATTTGGAAGTTTCAAAAGTCAATGGGATCTCAGATCAACATGAGGTGCCTGTGAAATCCTCAAGCTTCCCCTTTCGCCCACCCCGATTTCAGTCTAGGTCCTCCAGATTTGAGAGGTTAGAATTCAGTTGCTACCAAACTTTCTTCAGCTTTGTCTAATTTCGCAGTAGCGGAACCCAAACCCAACCAAAAAAGCGTAACAGAGCACTACTGGACTACTGGGGGCAGAACCCAAACCCAACCAAAAAAAGAAACGGTCACAAAGGCAACGCACGCCTGGGGGCACCGAGTCTCAGGATGCCCCGCACCCAGCGCAGACCGGCCGAGTCGAGAGCAAATCGATCGGCGCCTGGGCGCACACCACCAGCGCCGTGGAGTTCTCGGGCACCACCTTTCGTTTTGCTTCTTCCTTTTTTGGTTTGTTGTTTTTCGTTGTTCGTTTTTTTTGTTTTCTTTGTTTTTTGTTTCCCCCGGATCGGAAGTTGTCGGTTTTTCGTTTGTTTTTTCTTTTTCTTCCTTTATTGTTTCCTTTATTTTTCCCCGGATCGGAAGTTGTTGTTTTTCTTGTTTTTTGAGTTTGCTTCTTCTTTTTTGGGGGGTTCTTCGTGTTTTGTTTGATTGTTTTTGTCTTTTCTCCGGGTCGGAAGATCTGGAGGAAACAAAGAACCAACCCACCGGTGAAAGCTGCCTTTTTCTTCGGAGGGAAAGTCTGGAGGAAAACGAAGCCACCGGTGTTCAAGCATGGGGATTTTTTGTTTGCGGAGATTTGGTGGACACCAAAAAAAACCGCGGGTGTTCAAGCATGGCGTGGGGATTTGGTGAAAAACACAAATGCGATGAGTGGGAATGTTACGGGAATTTATGGGAATTGTGTAAAGGGATTTGGTGGAGACATTTGAGGGGATTTGGTGGACAAACTAAATGCGACTAGTGGGGTATTCAAAAGGAATCAATGGGAAGGTTGTGAACATGTGAGGGGAATTTATGGGTGTTTTGCGGTGATGGAGTGGGAATCTTGTGGGGTTTCGTCTGGCCCACCCACGTCCGCCCCCCTCCCCCCCAACCTGCAACAAACCAGAAATGTTTAGCTGGATTTTGGGGGCGCATCGATCTGGCAAATCAAGGGCCAGTGAGGGCGCGGGACTGAGAAGAAAAGAACTCTGGCAGTTTCATGGCCATGAGTCAAAATCCAAATCGTACCCCCAGTGGTTACATCAACCAATCCAACCACTAAAATAGGTTCTAAAATGGCTACCAACCAAAATGGGATCCCGTTTAACGGTTTTGACCCACAATTAATTACATGAACTGCCAGCAATGGCGCTGCCCTTCTTTTTTCTATTTTTTTTTTGAAAGGGCGACCTTCGTGCCTCGAAGAAGGGATTTATCCTTCCCGGCTCGAGGGCGGGCACCGCTGTGAAACCTGCAACTCTATGTTCAGATTCCGATTCCAAGGATGTGACAAACATCCTCCAGGGTTACACCCTCTGAGCTAAACAAAACACCTGCTTTCGATGACTAGTTCAGGTATTGTTTCCCTGTGGTGCGACGCCCAGGGTGGAGAAAAAAAAACAACGACTTTCCCATAGATCTTCTTGTTGGGAAAACAGATGGATTTCCCTGGTAGTTGATTCAACCACACGGTAACCCGGGAATCGCCCTTCATTCTTACATCAACTCAACCAAAAGGAAAAACCTATGGCCCCTTCCGATTCCCCCAGCCTGGTGGGCGATATGGATGTCCACAAAGTAGTCCCGCTTGCCCCCGGCGTTCTCCCGGAGCTCTGCGATGTCATCGCCCTTGTAGGTGACCACATCGACCACCTGATGCGCGAGGAAGGCGGCGAGCGACGCTCGTGGGGCAACCTGGGCCCTGGGCCGTTTGCGCCACGAAGTCCTTACCCCTTAAGACTCCAAGCCCTGAAAAAGTTAATCTTTTACAGACATATAGCCCATGTTACCCCAAAAAGTTGAAAAGTTATGTTTTTAAGAGGTAAGAGTCTGAAAGATTGTGAACAAGGCGACTCATCACTTGCCACGTCTGCCTTGCTCAGAACCCCCCGCCAAGACCCCAACCCCCCCCACCCAGCATCCGCAAAGGAAGGCCCCAGGACAATCCTCCGGTATGGTCCCCTCCAACGCCCCTTTTCTTGCTGGTGCGATAGGTAGGGAATGAGAAATCAAATGAACCGGAAGGGGGTCAAAGAAAGGAAACCACCAGTTGGATGGTTTATTTGTGGGTCATTCCATGTCTCATTCCCTATTGAGAACCAGCAAGCTTTTGCATAGGCTTAGTCAAACTGGCCCAATACTTCAACCAGAAAGGGGAATAGGGACCGCGCAAAAACTGGGCAGGGAGGGTCTGAGAAAAAGAACACAACAGCTCCCTGTGTGAGTCCCAGGTCAAACAGAACATTGGATTCAACTGCCAGCAACATCATCTTGTTTGAAGCTCCAGCAATGCTCTAGCTGCAACAAGGATCGTTTCCAGCAATCCTTCCAGTCGGGTTCACTCTCGGCGCTGGAGCCGTGGTTTCATGAGCAATGTTGCATACCGCTGACCTCGCGACGTCTTCTTCCCGAGGGCGAACACCTATCGCACTGGAAAGGCCACTTCCGCAAGACTTGATGGGGCGTGTTGTCACTCTCATGACAAACTACTTTGTGCTATTCGAAACCCCCGTTCTGCTTGGCGGCAAATCCAAGCCCGTTTGGGGCTCCGTGTTGCCTCTGTTGGAGACACAACCTATAGGTCCTCCAAAAAAAAATAAGATTAAACACAAAAAGCTACATTTTTTCTGCAGTCTATGTGATTAAGGGAACCCTCCCCCAAAAAGACACGCTCAAAGGGCACCAATTGCTGGAAAACCTCGAAACCGCCGCACAATTTCCAGCAGCAACCCACCCGGGGTGTCCCCGCCCCGAAGGAAAACGTCCTTTCGCCTGGCAAAAGTCCCCGAAGAAGTGCCGGGAGTAGCTCCCAGAATCCCATTCCTCGGATCAAAAACATGGCCGGGGGGGGGAAGCCTTGGCAGCACAGAGGCCCCTTGTAACATGAAATCCCTTGAATTCCCCTTCAGTCACCCACTAGGTCCTCCAGTTTAGAGAGGTTAGCATAAGGGTACCAACTTTTTCCTGTAGTCAATCTTTAGTAGGAGAACCCTCGCCCAAAAAAAGGTGAAAGGGCACTACTGGGGGACCTAGCCCTAAAGATGGATACCATATGCAACAACCCAAACCCAGCATTTCTTGAAACGGCCTCCTGTTGGTTCCTGTTGCTTGCCTTTAAAGGGGACGAGCAACCGGTAGTTGTTGCAATTTTTGCAAACCCTGATTGGCCCAACCCTGATTGGCCCAACCCCGATTGGCGCGGTTTCAATAAAGCCTCCGCTCGAAGGTTGCTGCTATGCACATATTGTGTATATACACTGCAGCCCACCAACAGCTCTTCACAGGCGGCTTGAACCTCCCGTTTGCGAACTTGTCTACCTGTTACTTGGCAGTAGACTTGCCAATCCATGCTCATGTGCGAACCGTCTGAACTCTAGGGGTACCTTCTATCTCCATTCTTCCAGGGATCCAACCCAGGGAAACGGATCCGGTTGTTGGAAAGAACGATGGTTGAAAAGAATGGACCAGGAATCAACCCCTAGATCAGCCCCAAAAATGAACGCATCCTTCAGATCCCAACCTCGGGCAGGCGGATCGCCACACAGGGATCCTTACATTTTACACCTGAACCTTGCAACTTGTAAATGGAGTTGTTTGGGTGTTGAACAAGCCAAAGCCATGTTTCAAATGGTTACAAAATAGAGATCTTTTAAGGAGCCCTGCCCAACCAGAGGTCTTTCAAAATATCGTTTTGACCCAGTCCCTGACACCCTGCCTCACGATGTCCTTTTCAACTGTTGGTTGACGTTGGAAGGAGAGCAAAAAAAAAGCTGTTAAGGTGTGGGGATTTCAACCACTAAACCGCAATAAGCAAAAATGCAAAATGCCTTCCCAACAACGACCATGATGTGCCTGGAGCCTCAAAATAGCAGCTTACACATGGTTTGTGGCTCGCCCCGAGATTATGGTTGGTGAATTCCTTTTTTGGTTCATGGGCTATTTCACCAACCAGAGCCCATTCCCAATGAACCCAACTATGGTTGGCTGTGGATCAAAACCGTTTTGGGATCCCATGTTGGGGTAGGCGCACCACCCATTTTGGTGGTTGGATTGGGATGTTCACTGAGGTGTACGATTTGGATATTGACCCATGGCAAGTGGGCGAACTCCCTTCTTGTTCCCAGAGGGTCCAAGTACCTCGTAAGGATGGTTCAGTACCTCCTTAGAAGGTACCAAGGGACCCTCTGGGATTTGTCATTTCCAAATTCCCTTTAACGGGTCACGTCCAGGCACAAAAAAAAGGTGTCCGACATCTAAAAACTAGGTCCTCCAGTTTTGAGAGCTTAGAATGAGGGTACCCTTTTTTTTCTGTAGTCTATTTTAGTCTTTGGAACCCTCCCCCAAAAAAGAAACGGTCAAAGGGCACCAATTGCTGGGGGACCTAGACCTTCTCCCGCGAAGCGCAACCAGAGAAAATGGTTCAGCGGAGCTGCGAGGCACCGTCGCTTCGGGGGCAGCTCCGGCATCCGCTTGGCCACCTGGCGAAACGAGTCTCCCCCGCTAGGGCGACATGAGATTCAGGCGCCCGCGCGCCCGCGCGCGCGCCTCAGCTGCTGCTGGCCACTTGTTCTAGAGGGAGGCAAAAAAAAAAGTGGGTTCCAAATCGGAGGTGAAGACTTGGGTGCTGCAACGACCCCGCTGCAGAGAGTTGAACTGTGCGTGGCTCCAACTCGGAACAACCGAGCTGTTTCCCCAACACGTTAAAGTCCAAAGATCCAACCGGATGGCCATGCGGAAAAAAAAATAAAAATAAAAATCACTCAATTGATTCTTGGGTAATGGTCCGGAAGCTCAAACATTTGAGTCACTCGCCCCTTTTCACGTTTTCAGCTCCCAACCTCTCGAGGGAAACCTCAGCGCGTGGAAAACTTGCCTCACTTCCGATCGAGTGGATTGGCCACAAAAAGTTCTAGAAGGGTCCAGACCCAAAAAGTCTAAAGTCCAGGATTTGATGATGATCATGCTGGTAATGATGATATGGAAGCGGATTGTGATCGTAACTATCATCGGACTTGAGGAATTTGGGGTTATTACCCACAATAAAGGGGTTATGGACCTACTTTTAAAGGGTCATGGAGACAGGTCCTGTCAGGTCAGAAGGGTCCAGACCCAAAAGTGCAAAATCCAGGAATTGGGCCCCACTCCCATCTCCCATCTCGCCTGGGACAAAAAGTGCCCCAGCTGCAGGCGCTCCAAGATGTGCTCGTGGCCTCCGCAAAAAAAAAAAGAAGTTCCAGTGCCACCTTCCATTTCCATTCTTTCCAGAGATCTCCAATGCGTTTCAGAATATTCGATGCTACCTTCCATTTCCATTCTTTCCAGGGGAGGACCTTTAGTCGCTTTTGGGGACCATTTTAGTGCCAAATGAAAAGTTTAGCTACTGTTCTAGTGCTACCTGCCATGGCACCCTTGGCCACAGGAATGTGGGTGCCCTCCCAGATCCGTTCTAGGGGTGCCTTCCCCATTTCCATGCTTAACCCAGGGATCCAAGTCTTTCTCGAAAACCTCCGGAAACCCAGGGAAAGCGGATCTGGTTTTCGAAAAGAAGGATGGTTGGAAAGAATGGACAAGGAATCAACCCTTAGAAAAGTGGCCAAGTCCGCTGGCAACGAACCGAACCCCCGGCCCCCCCTCCCCCCAAACCTCAGGTTCCATGGCAATTGGTGGGAGGGTAACCCTGATTACCAAACAAATCCTGGGGTTTTCTGTTTCTGCTTTCTCTTTTTGCGCGTGGTTGGCCAACCAACTTCCTCTTAGATTCGGAGAACATGCGGTTCCCTTTAAGGAGGGTCAAGCAGGCCTTCCACCAGGCAAGCCACTATAAATTGCAACCAGCTGTTGTTGTTTTAGTCTTTAAAGGGCGGTTTCCTGGGTTACCTACACTTAGGGACTTAATTGGCGGAATCACTGGGAGTCATAACAATGGTTGATTGACCAGTGATGCGAAATGTTGCAAAAGGCAACATGTCCGATCAGAAAGTGATGCCAACATCTTGACAAACAAACACAACATGGTTGAGCTCATTTTGTTTGTCTTTGGTGACTGAAGACTCCAAGGCGGCACTTCATGATATGTAGTAATCAGTAACAAGTCTAGATATCTTGGTATGCTGAGCAAACAATCCTTTCCAAAGGCATCGCAAATCATGCTGAGCACAGCATCGCATATGTTTCAGGCTGTCAAAGCTGGGGTTTCTTTAAGTGACGCGTTCAGTGGCCTTTAAAAGGTGGAAAGGGTCGCCATGGTCTCCTCGGTGCAAACCCCAAAAAATCAAATCCAGTGGTGATTGAAGCATTTTCGGGCTTCGGGCACATCCCCAAACAGCGGCAGTTTCAGCCCCTGGCATTCCTGCACACCGGTTTCGAAAAGGGCTACCCCCGTCATTTAGGTGTGTCGTTTTTCTTTGGGACACCCCCTTGGAGGTTTTGAAAGGACACCACCAGCATAAAAGCGGTGGGTCCAACCGAAGAAAGACACGCCCATTCACCAGAAGGAGATTTGAAAAGAAGGACAACGGTCACCTTTCGTCTGGTCCCCCGAAAGTGTGTAGGACCCAAGGCTGTGCACATTGTCCTTGGAGCTAGAACCTGTTTATAGATTAAAAGAACCAAAAACCCGTCTTGGCCATACATTAAACCATTGCTCTGGGTTTGTTTTGTATTCATCCATCGTGTCTTGTTTGCTGTGGACCCCTCTGCAAACAGAGTCACTTTTTGTGAGTCGACAATCCGCAAAGTTTCAACCAAGAAGTTCAAGTCCAAAGATCGAAGCAAATACCCATAAAGCTTAATAGAAACTTTCGTCTGAAGGCAAACATCCACTAAAATGGTCTTTCCAAAAAGTTTAAAGCCAAGGAACTCGGGGAGTGAGCTTACCATACAGAGTGTAACACACCAACACCCCCCTGCCCCCCAACAAGCCCCCCAAACAATCAATCCCCCCCACCCCCAACTCTCATCAAAACCATGGCTTACAGCTTTTCACGTTCGGCATCACCGTGTAGGCTGTATTTCGGGCCCGACCCAGCCTGCGACGTCCGCCCCCCAAAAAACAAAATCAAAGAAACAACACAACAAAAAAAGAAACCGACAAAAAAAAACAACAACAACCAAACATCAAAGAAACAACAACCAAAAAAAAACACCCGCCCCCGCGCCGCCTTGCGGGTGACGCCCGTCGTTCTCCTCTCGGAGCTTCCAAAGCACCGCCACCAGGTGGTCCTCGAAGCGTCGAAGCAAGCGGCGCTTTGGAGATGACCCCGAGGAAAGGAAAGGGCGACTCTGGGGGCGGTTCTCCCCCACCACCAATTGCCATGGACCCTGACGTTTCCCCCCCCCCCCCCTCGTTTTTTTTGTTTTTTCTTCTTTCCGGGGGGGGGGGGGGTGAGGGGGGAGGGGTTCGGTTTCGTTGCCAGCGGACTTTGCCGCTTTTCTAAGGGTTGATTTTGTTGGTCGAATTCTTTCCAACCATCCGTCTTTTCAAGAAACGGAGTCCGTTTTCCCTGGGTCTCCGCAGGTTTTCGAGAAAGATTTGGATCCCTGAAAAAGATGGGGAAGGTACACCTGGAGCGACATGCACACGTGATGTGTGCTTCTATACCTAGAAGATCCTTCTCGCGGAAAATTCCGCCCATTTTGGGAAAAGGCGCCGTTTTCCTTGTGACTGCGTTTTAGACTTGGAGCCGGAATGCTTGCTTTTTCTCAAGCACCGCTTAGCACCTATCCTTCTGGACCTGGAGTGCCCTGCCGAGCACTGCTTTCGCTTTGAACTATTCCTGGGTCCTCCAGTAGAGAGGTTAGAATAAGGGCACCTTTTTTTTTCTGTAGTCTGTTTTAGTGGGGGAACCCTCCCAACCAAAAAAGTGAGAAAGGGCACTACTGGGGGACCTAGATTCTTCGATGATGTGCCCTGCCGGTGGCTTGTTGGGTTCCACCGATCAACCCAGCACCTACCCCAAAATGGGATCCCATTGGTTTTGACCCACAGCCATGTCTTGCTCCCTAGCCCTCATGGATGGGCAAGCTTGCCAGATCCTGAAAACTGCAGGCGGGCGAATATATCTCAGGCAGAATCCTCGCTGAGCTTTTTTTTCCTCGGGCATGCTTGATGATGCTTTGGGCCTTCACGATGTGCCGGATGCTCTTGGCAACGCGTTCTTGACAAAATGTCCTCCTTTTTTGAGGCCAGAGCACGGGCAGACTTTCTTATCGGGAAACAGGCATATTTTTTTCGGGTTGCACAGCGTCACGGTTGGCTAAAAGGCATGTCTGGCCGCAAATTGCAAGGGTGTGTAAATCAAGCCGAAATCAGGGACCCTCAACAACCATCGGCCCCTGTCAAAACATAAGATCCAGTGCATCTGATTGTCGTCCACGTGCTAATTAAACCCCTTGGAATGGAACAAAGACTGGGTGAACTCCTTTCAGAACCCTCTTTCAGAACCCTCTGTCAGGGTATCCTCTTGAATCTTGCCACATGTTTCAAAGACTTCGAAAAAGGTCCCTTGACGTTCGACGACAAGTGTCCTAAGGCTGCTCTCTTGACAAAATGAGCGTCGGTGCCAAAATCGGAGACACCCAAATACTGGGCGCTTTTCCTTCTCGTTTCCCAGTCAACAAAAAGGCCCTGTTTTGAACACCAAATGGGTCCGTGTATTTTCTGAGGTTACCCCTTTCAATGCAAAGTAAACACAAATCCACCGAAAAATCGGAAAACCAAATCGAGCCCATGGATCTCTGGATTGCTGGATTTCCCCCTCCCCCCCCCTCCCCCCCCTCTCCCCCCCCCTTTTTCCCCCCCCCTTTTATTGCCGAATCCCCAAATCGAGCCCTTGGTTCCTTGGTTCCATTTACTGGGGTTCCAGATGGGATACCCCTTTCTGACCCACAGCCACATCAAGCCCAGGCCCAGACCCTGCCTCCTTCTTCACAAACCAGGGATGGCGCAGAGGCAGCGCGCCTTTCCGCCACATGCCCTGGAAGAGCCTCGCAAAGCCCTCCTGCGCGGCATCGAACCTCGAAAAGGGAAGCGCTGGCCCTGATCGTCTCGGTAAGTTTGCGACCTCGCTGGCCCGAAGGTCTGCAAGCTTATAACAGTGGGTGCAACTTCAAACTGTGAAGATCGGAAGGCAGAGAGTCGGCAGAGTCCCGTGGTGACACACATGCTCCAGTCTTCTCGGGGGTTACCCATGTGGGCGTCTTAAGTTGAAAAGCCCCCAACATAAGAATCATATAACACCCAAACCGGCGCAATTCAGCCACACAAAGGGATGCGCGGGAGGACAAATAACCCACATGTTGGGACATTTCCCCCAGAGTCTGGGAGGAGCATCTCCGGTTGAAATGCATCCATTGGCTTCCCTTCAACTACCCACAAGGCCACCTCATAGCATCAGGATGTTCCACGGGCTTACATGTAAAACCAAACGAAAAGGCTACCTTAAAAATACATAGAAACCTTCTCCCCTTCTCACTTCTAAGCATCCCTCCTCCCCAAAACAAAAACTTAAAAAAAGCCCCACCAATTGGAACCCTTCCGATTTCCCTCCCTGAAAGCTCCCAGCCTTGGCGCAATCCTCCGGTGCCAGGCAGGGAAATCGTGGCTCCAGCGCTCCTTTCGTCGTGTTCTCCTCTAGCTCGCCTGCGCCGACATCTGCCGCGTCCGAGCCTCTTTAAGCCTGGGTTTTTGGGAGCACACCGGATTCTTGGTTGATGTTGAAAGAGGAGCAAAACTGTAAATTTTAGCAGTAAGTGGGGATTTCCCACTAAACCACAATAAGCAAAAATGTGAAATGGTTCCCAACAACCATGAATTCTGCGGTTTCCCTACCTCAGATGCCCAGTGGCTTTTCAGCGGGAAAAAAGGGCATTGACTTCAAAGGGGGACCCTTGAGGGGCACCACTGGGCAACTGGGCTACTGGGGACAAACCCAGGCATATTCAACCTACTTAGCAAGCTAGCCATGGTGATGTGTCGCCCGACTCTTGCTGTCTTGCTCAATAACTACCTCCATTTGCTTAAGCCCCCTGGGAAAAATATAGATATGTCCAGTAGTGATAAAACCCGATTAAAGCCAACAAGGCAAAATAGGAAATATTCTTAAGCAAATGGGAGACTATGGTTATGACCAATACTTACTCAGCTGGTTCAACATCAAAAACAAGAGTGCGTCCTGCAAAACATCGGCCCCCATGTAGCCGAGGGCTAACCCATCAAGTTCTAGGCGGCTTGAAGGAACGCCACAAGGAACCGCTTTCGATCAGGAATCACCTAAATGGTATGTTGAACCAAACAAACTCCTCGTGCGCAAGATATGCAAACAAATCCATATATTGAATTATTTAATCCATCAAGGGATTTCAACACTTCGACCACGTGGGATCGGTGCCTTTATTTCTGCCAGTTGAATATGAGGGGTGTTAGTTCATAAATTGATGCGGACCCCATCTAACATAAAACACACCCTATGAACAAAATCAAGGAGTCCACAGTTCCCACCACCCCGTGCTTCGACACATTTCGCCCCACATGAATGGTCAAAGCAGCCTGTTGGCTTCTCCTTACACAGAAAACAGAGGCTTGGTCTAGGCGACCCTTTGCGATCCAAACTAGTGGCTTGCCCATCGATTTCTAAGCGAACCGATCAAAAGGACAGCTAGGCCCACCACACGGGGGCGCGCCACGTTCCAGGGGTGCTTGTACATACCCCATTTTACATACCCCTTGGGCAAATGAACTCAAAAGGCCTGCTGATGTTCATACCCCTCTCCCCCAAAGGGATAAATATACCCCTTGTAAAGTGGGTTGGAAACCACGGAAGACAAGGGGTATGCCCGGCCTAAACCCTAAACCCTAAACCCAAAGCACCAAACCAAACCCTCATTCTTGAGAGCTGAGACATGAGGGTTGGCTCTCAAAGTCCGACACGGAAATGGGTGGTTTCCCTTCAAGCTAGGCCCGCCCTTCCGGCCGAAGACCACGTGCCCCACGCGCCGAAAGCCGACAGCCCGCGCCGAATCGCGCCTAGCCCTGCCAAGAAGAGCTGGAGCTCCGCGTCGCTGAAGCGCAGGAACTTGGCCAAGGCGCTCACGTCCAGGCGCCCTCTCGGAGTTGGTGGAGTTGGTGACGTGTGCGCTGAGCGGTGGGTCAAAACCAATGGTACCAAGGTCGGGCCCGGGCCCTTGTTTCAACATGATTTAACGTTGGAAGGGGAGCAATAATTTTATTCTTCAGCAGTTAAGTGGGGATCTCAACCACTAAACCACCATTTGCAAAAATGGTTCAAATGTTTCCCAACAACAGCCATGTAAACATGGGTTGTTCTTCCTTGAGCAAACTGTCGAATCTCTTGCAGGCTTAATGGAAACGCCCCAAATGTGTCTCCAATAATCCTAAGGTCCACCAGCCCTTCATGATTTGTATGGCACACCGCACCTGGACACCTCCAACATTTCTTCAGAAACCAAGTTTACCCCGATGAGAAAGCCACTTGGGCTGGAGACAAACGAGAACCTACGCAAAGGACCCATACAAACGATTGGTGTCATGGTGGTTTGCCGGTAACTGGGCTGTCCATTTTCAGATCCCCTGCTAAAAGTGAATAACCGTCAGTGGGTTAAAATTCGGGAACCCAACCACTAAACCAACTAAAAAGAATTAAACACCTAAGGGGCCTTCGCTGAGTTAAGAGAGCCCTGTAAAAACCCTCCTGCTTAAATTTCAGGCCTTCTTTGTTGTAACATGTTTTATCACACTCCCTGATTGAACAGTCTTCTGTTCGTTTCCCAACGAAAACAAGGCCACGAGGATTTCGTCCATTTGTGTTTGCGCCCCCTGAAACAAATGAGAACATATTGCCAGTAGAGAAATTGATTCCCTTTAAAACCAACTTGCGGGAAAATAAAACCATATATTCATTTCAGCAAATGGAAGTCGTATCTGCTGACTCTTTCATCTTCTTGGTCAAACCCCAGATGCCCCATTCTTGGGGTTCTTCCCCCCTTTCTTTGGTCCATTTCTCAAAACAGTTGGCGAATCTCGGTGCCCAGCAAATGGAATCATGATCGTCCCAAGTCCAGCAGCTCGGTTTTGGTGGGTCCCCAGGATAGCAAATAAGTACTGAAACAGTACTCAAAAGGAGCAGCCGAAAAAGCGGCACAGGTGAGTCGAGTCAATGGAAGATCAAACCCCCTGCCCATCTTTGCCCACCTAGAGTGTCCACGACCCTTCAAAAATGGGTTCATTAATTACCCTAAATAATGGTTGGTCATGGACCTACCTGGAGTCTCCATGACCCCTTAAAAAATGGTTGGTCAGGACCACTATTTTGGCGAATGACCAACCATTTTCAAAGGGTCAGAAGGAGACGGCAGGCACTCACTCCACCCCGGCGCCCCGCCCCGTCCGGGCCTGGCAGCTGGGTGTGCGGCACCTGGCCGCAGCACTTCTCCGCCGTGAAGTCCGCGCCCCAGCAGCCCTGCCACTTCAGCTCGCAGCAGGCCAGGAACCAGGCCTCCCAATACTCCCGTGCCACTACCCCGAACGCTTACCAACGAAGTGTCTAACTTGCCGAATCCAACACAGTCCCTTGAATTCAGGTCTGGCTCCTTCGAGAGGATCTCTGCTTTGGATGGGTTCACGTGGAAACTAAAGGACACCTCCCAGTACTGCGGATGGACAAAATCCCATTCGAGGCCATGGGAAGCCATGGGAAGCCATGGGAAGCCATGGGAAGCCATGGGAAGGCATGGGAAGCCATGGGAAGCCATGGGAAGCCATGGGAAGGCATGGGAAGGCATGGGAAGGCATGGGAAGCCATGGGAAGCCATGGGAAGCCATGGGAAGCCCATGGGAAGCCATGGGAAGCCATGGGAAGCCATGGGAAGGCATGGGAAGGCATGGGAAGCCATGGGAAGCCATGGGAAGCCATGGGAAGCCATGGGAAGCCATGGGAAGCCATGGGAAGCCATGGGAAGGCATGGGAAGCCATGGGAAGCCATGGGAAGCCATGGGAAGCCATGGGAAGGCATGGGAAGGCATGGGAAGGCATGGGAAGGCATGGGAAGGCATGGGAAGGCATGGGAAGCATGGGAAGCCATGGGAAGCCATGGGAAGCCATGGGAAGCCATGGGAAGCCATGGGAAGCCATGGGAAGCATGGGAAGGCATGGGAAGGCATGGGAAGGCATGGGAAGGCATGGGAAGCCATGGGAAGCCATGGGAAGCCATGGGAAGCCATGGGAAGCCATGGGAAGCCATGGGAAGCCATGGGAAGCATGGGAAGCCATGGGAAGCCATGGGAAGCCATGGGAAGGCATGGGAAGGCATGGGAAGGCATGGGAAGGCATGGGAAGGCATGGGATGGGAAGCCATGGGAAGCATGGGAAGCCATGGGAAGCCATGGGAAGCCATGGGAAGCCATGGGAAGCCATGGGAAGCCATGGGAAGCCATGGGAAGCCATGGGAAGCCATGGAAGAAGCCATGGGAAGCCATGGGAAGCCATGGGAAGCCATGGGAAGCCATGGGAAGCCATGGGAAGGCATGGGAAGGCATGGGAAGGCATGGGAAGCCATGGGAAGCCATGGGAAGCCATGGGAAGCCATGGGAAGCCATGGGAAGCCATGGGAAGCCATGGGAAGGCATGGGAAGGCATGGGAAGGCATGGGAAGGCATGGGAAGCCCATGGGAAGCCATGGGAAGCCATGGGAAGCCAGCATGGGAAGCCCATGGGAAAGGGTGGGAATGGGATGGGAAGCCATGGGATATGGGAAGCATGGCATGTGAAGGCATGGGTGGAAGCCATGGGAGCCATGGGAAGCATGGGAAGCCATGGGAAGCATGGGAAGCCATGGGAAGCCTGGGAAGCCATGGGAAGCCATGGGAAGCCATGGGAAGCCATGGGAAGGCATGGGAAGGCATGGGAAGCCATGGGAAGCCATGGGAAGCCATGGGAAGCCATGATAAGGATGGGAAGCCATGGGAAGGCATGGGAAGGCATGGGAAGCCATGGGAAGCCATGGGAAGCCATGGGAAGCCATGGGAAGGCATGGGAAGGCATGGGAAGCCATGGGAAGGCATGGGAAGGCATGGGAAGGCATGGGAAGGCATGGGAATCCATGGGAAGCCATGGGAAGCCATGGGAAGCCATGGGAAGCCATAGGAAGCCATGGGAAGGCATGGGAAGCCATGGGAAGCCATGGGAAGCCATGGGAAGCCATGGGAAGCCATGGTATTTGCCTTAGGGAATCGAAAATCAGTCCGTTGGGCTTCTCAGGTGGTGCGTTGCAACGCATGGGATTTCGCAACCATCCACAGGTGCCACTCACTCACTCAAGTTTTCGGCCTCTGTGGGCGCAGCTGATTTATTGCGGGGGGGGGGGGGATCAGGCCCAAAAACGACCATGGGTTGCCATCCAAATTGGCGGGCCACAGTTTGTTCGTTTACCACTAAGATCTAGGTCCTCCAGTAGAGAGATTAGAACAAGGGTACCAACTTTTTCTGTAGTCTATTTTAGTAGAACCCTCCCAACCAAAAATAAGGTTAAGAAGGGCCTCCCGTGCCACTGCCCCGAAAAATGGAGTGGACGGCAAAGATGAACCGAAGTCCATTAGCTTCGCCTCCCACTTGGGTGGTTTGGAGGAGTTCCAACCTCTCACTTCAGGAACCCCCCCTAAAAATAGTCACACCCCAAAATCAACTTCCATCCAGTTGGCGGTTTGGATTGGCAGCTTGGAGGTGTTCCAATTGGCGGTTTTCCGGGTTTACACTCCTGAACCAAGGGTTCAAATCCCCAAAAGACCAATCCAAACCACCGACTAGATTCCCACTACCGTACGTGCCCTCACGTCCGAAAAGGAGTGGATGGCAGAGAGCACAAAAGAAGTCCGAACTTTTTTCGGTTGCCACTGAGATGGTCCAGTCCCAAAACGTCACTCAAGTCCACAACGGAACTCGATCGGAAGTGAGCACTTGCCACGATTGCCGCGAGTCGCGAGCCTCGCGAGCGAGTCTGCCTGAACCCGAGCCAATCACTTGTGGATTGGTCAGACCCAAAGTTGCGATGTTTGCTATTTGCCACTAGGCCGAACTGCTCAAGACTCCGAACTCACCGGAGTGGGTTCGTCAGAGAACATCCAGACTTTGCGTTGTCCGCCAATCAAATGATCTTCCCCGAAGGTCTACTGGGGAAATATACCTGCATCCGCAGCCGCCATATAGAGACCTAGGGTCGAGGAAAAAATGCCATCCAAAGGCAACAGCCGGCAAGAAGCACATCTTACCATTCCTTTCCCAAAGGTGTTAGAATCAACAAGGTACATATATATATATATATGTATATATATATATATCGGTGTTTCTCAAAATAGGCGTTCCCAAAATTGTTTTGTCCCCTCAAATCTCAACCAACAGGGGTCCACCGTTTTGAGAAACACTCATACATAAAAGTATATATATATATATTATAAGTGTGAGTGTCAACATAGGGATCCCAGAATGGCAGTTGCTTTTTTTGGGATTTCCCTTGAAACCAACCAAAGAAAGAGGAACTCCCGAAAAGGGTACCAAACCCATGTGACGGTCCCAGCTTTCAAACCCACGGGTTTACAACCCCACGAGTGCTTGAAGAAACCGCCCCGCCAGCGGCTGCCCAAGGGGGCCATGGATCTTAAGTCATTTTTCAGGGCCACCTTCTTCGGGATTGGTACACAGACACACACACACACAGACACACAAACACACAAGTTGTTGCTGTGCTTTTGTATTTGGCCACCCCCAAACTCCCTAAAGGTCGCGCACTCAGTGTTCAAAGACCCGGATTGGTTCGTTCATTGGTACATGTGACTCACCCAAATGGGGTGTTTCTGGTGTCGCTAGGTCTCAAAGCGGTCACTCCTGCAGTTGGCGACGACTGCCTATTATTGTTCTCACTTCCTGAGTGGATTGGCAAACACAGTCTGAACTGACAATGGTCCAGACCCACCAAGTTTAAAGTCCGGGAACTCAGGGAGTGTGATTGTCAAAGAGGCTCCCCATTCATTTCACCCATCATACTTCTCCAACCGCTGGAAGCTACGGGGTCGATAGGCCCAAAAGTGGCTTGGGGCAGCTGAAAGTGAAGGGTTTTGGAGGGTTCCGCGGCTATTGGGGATATCACCTGGGCTTAGATTTTGGGGGAAGCCACCGAACATATGTTATGATATTTGCTGAACAGGAGGACTTGTTGAAAGCACGCGAAAAAGGAAGCAAGCTGGCCAGCAAATGCCAAGTCTGGGGTCTTCGTTTCCAGGGGAGCCAAGGTACATACCCCTTTTGCATACCCGACAAACGAACCCCTGAGAGGCCTGATGTTCATACCCCTCTCCCCCCAAATATATATATATATATATATATATCTATACACATATATATATACTCCTGAGGTTTTAAGCTAAATCCTGCAGCATTTCGTTGCGAGTCTGGCTTGCTTCGCTCGCGGAAGATCGGCCGGGCAACTCTGTGGCCTCGGGTCGGCCGCCCATACCGCGCCAGCACTCCAGCGGAGCATCTTCTTTGGCCGGCGCGGTCTTCGCCTGAAGCCGGCGCAATGGGGCTGATCACTAGGGGGTTCCCCCCAAAAGTGGAGAGGAGTTTCCTACGTGGTGGTCACCAAACCGACTCATTTGGTTGAAACCAAGCAAACGTTGTGATTTACAGCCAAAAGAAGGCTACCTAGGAGTCCTGGGTTTCTTGGGTTCTCTGACCTAAAAGGTAACTAAAGCGGTTAAAGTGGTTTTGTTGAAGCCAATCTGCTTTTGGCAAGCCAACCAAATCAACACCATCCGATGTTTCTCTGTCCTGGGGGTCTCTGTGCTTAAGCCTTGCAGACTTGCAAGCCAATCTTTTAGTGTAAACCGGCAACAGCCATAGGTGTCAATTTTTAGGGGAAATAGATGGATTTCCCCGGTAGATGATTAAACCACCAGGTAAACCAGGAAGCGCCATCTATTTCTCTAGCAACACAACCAAAAAAGACACCTATGACAACAACTCCAGTCAATCTTGGTGAAAAGGTTGAAGCCAACCTTGCGTGGAAACAAACGCCGCCAAACTAATCAATGTTGGTTAAACCACATGGGATTCAAGCATAGAAATTGCCAACACGCCCAACCAACTTGTGGTTAAAACCAAGTGGACACCCAACTTGTAAGTAAAACACAGTGGAAACCAACAAGCACATGGACACATCATCACCACCACCGCCACCACCACCACCGCCACCACCACCAGCATCATCATCATCGTCATCATCATCATCACTAGCTCCTCCAGTAGGGAGGGTAGAACAGTAGTCCAAATTTTAGTAGGGGAACCCTCCCAACCAAAAACAAAACGTTGGGCCAAGGGCGCCAATCGCTGGGGGACCTAGGAATCATGAACCACAACACACGACATCCACGACATCCACAGCGCCACTTGGCTTCGGTCGGGTCGCCGAGGCGTTGCCCAGCTGGCAGGTTTCGGGGTCAAAGCGGCGCCAGAGGCCCAGCGTCATGGGCCAGGCCACCGCGGTCTGGGGCGCCAAGGGCCGCCGGAGCCTCGGAAGACAGGGCAGCCCGAAGGCGTCGGCGGTTCTTGGGGGGTCTGGTTCGGGTTTTGGGTTTGGTTTTAAGTGGAGCTTGGGGATGGTAGTTGAAATGATACACCTGAAGATTGCAACTTGCAAATGGTGGTGTCCCATTCTTTATTTTGGTCGTGAAAACGCAACATGCTTCAAATGGTTGCAACATGGGGAAAGTGCTACGTGTTTCTCTGGCCGAAAGGGCCGAAAGTGGACACTTGTTTTGTGAAATGTGAAATGTTCTAAGGGGTAAGGGGGGACCTGTCTCGGCTTCCTTAAAGTTTTGTAGGGTTTGTTCGGGTTCCTCAGGGTTCTGGGCGGAAAGTCCTGGGGGGAGCATTTCCTGAAAAGCGTTAAGGACCCCCCCTTAGAGATTCCATAAAAGTGACCCAAAAGGTTCAACGACTTGGAACGTGCTTCTGCGTCAAAAAGACAGTCAATTATCTTTGCAATGCAACACATAGATCTGGTCCACGGTGTGTCTTTGCTTGTGGGGTAGGTGTTTTTTCTTGGGGGGGGAGGGCAAAAAGGGAAACCAAAGTGAAACTTGTTTTGTTGGGAAATAATTTGAACCGAGTGTGGATGGACAAAATACACGCCAGGCACTAGTGGGGATGGAGGAAATACTGAGATGAACCACCCATCTGGGCTGCCCGATTTCAGATCCCCCGCTAAAAGTGACTAACTTTTAGTGGGTTAAATGGAAACTACTAAACTCTAAAAAGCTAAAAGGCAAGTGGACGAGGCTGGTGGACAACTCGCTGGGTCTGAATACGGAAATCACCAACACGAGGGTTCAAACCCCAAAAGAATGGTTGCCTCAATTTGGATGACGAAATTCCCGAGGAATCTGAACGGTGATCATATTAACCCTGTTCCGTTTTGCGGTGACTGAACCGGGCCAAGGGGTCTTGGGGAATGAACATAGGGATCCAAACCCTGGCGAGAAGCTCCACGGAGCCGTCTGAGCTGAGCAGACCCTTGGACAAAGGCAGCTCATGGAAATGCTCCTCCGCAGGGAAGAAGTGCATGTCCTGGCCAGAGGGCTTTCTTTGGCTGCTGTACCCTCCCACCAACTAGCATGGGCTAGTGCAAAAAGGCCCTTTTCAAGAGGAAAATTGTCTTTCTACAGGGGTCTGTGCACTTCCATGTTAGCTGGTGGAAGGGTAACGACTCCTCTGCTGACCCCCCTGCAAAAAGTTTAAATTGTTGGGGGTTTAGTGGAAAACCTCTTGATTTCCCACAAAGATCCAACCCAATAGCAGTCAAGATTTGGACTATATGTTTAGTGAACCTGGAAGTGCAATTCCCAGAGCAGGCGCCTGGGTGAAACTCCAAAACCAAACTAGGATTCTGGGGGTCCAGTCCCGTTTGACACATACACGTATCCTCAACTGAGCACCTCCGACATGCTTCGTGATTGGCAAGATTGGCCAAAACAGTGGTGCTTAAATAAACCATGTGTCAAGGACCCAACCCCCCCACCCCACCCAAAAAAATGACTCTTGACGACTCCCCAGCCACATAGGCCCACCCCAGCCACATAGGCCCACCCCTATTGCTTGTGACAGTCTAGAAACTGCCGCTCCGCTTTTATAGCTGGACAGATCTGGAAGTGAAGACCCGATACCATAAAAACAAACGAGGGGGCCCTAAAACTGATACCCTGGCAGCATGGTCTAACAAAACACCAACCCTATGGCTCAGTAAGTGCAAAGCTATTCTTGGGCGACCCCTCAAATGGTGGGTGTCCCCTTTGTTTACCTTGGGCAACTAACCAAGAAAGAGGATCCCCTCCAAAACACACACCGATTTGCTTTTCTAGGGAACCCACAAAATGGACTTCGGTGGTCCAGTTGTCCATTTGGCTCCCCTCTAAAACGCCACCAAAAAAGGCGGTCTTCCTCAAAACAGGTTCGCGTTTTTCTCCCATGAACATGGCTTCCTGGTGGTTTCCCCCTTAAACCCCACCTTAAAAAGGGCGGTTTTCATCACACATAGTTTATGTGTTTCCCTTATACCCAGCCCACAAGCTTCTCTGCGCAAGTTCTCTTCTGCGCAAGCTTCTCTGCAAGCAGCCACAGCCAGGCCATCAAAAACAACATGTTTTCAGAAAAGTGTGCTTTGCCAATGGGCTGTCCTGTAAGCAGTTGAGTTTGGCAAAACAGTTTTTCCAGTGGTTTAAGGGGTTGGCTTAACCTCTGCCGCTTGTTTTCCCTTGAAGCCCTCAACTCCTTTTTTTCTGTAGTCTATGTTAGTAGGGGAACCCTCTCCCAAAAAAGAAACGGAAAGAAGTCGGCACCACTTGCTGGGGGACCTAGTTGTTTAACCCAATTTTGCCCACACACTGCCCCCCCTGTTGGGTTCTCCAGCCCGTTGGGTTTTCTCCAGCTTCCCCGGTAATCCATGCTGGTTTTCCGATGTTGGTTTCCCATGTCTCTTTTTGACAGCTTCTCCCTTAAAACGATGGGTTTCCTCATATGAACATGGTTTCTCGATCCCTGCTTCCTTCTGGTTTCCCAAAATTCCCACCAAACAGTTTTTCCCTTTTCGTTCTCCTTAAGCCCTGAAAGCAAGCCGCAGACCCGACAACTCGTCTCCTCCAGGAGCTGCAGCCAGGTGCCCAGCGCCAAGTCCACAGGGCTCTCCGCCTGCCGAGCGAACGGAGCTGCCGAATCGGTCTCTGGGGCAAGGCGGAGGGAGGGGGGGGGGGGGCCTGGGTTTTCGGGTTGAAGGCCTACCCCCGACTCCAAATACCCGGCCTTTGAGTTGGTATCATGTCAACCCCAAAAAAAGAGGTAGTTACCTTGAAAAACCATGTCTCCAAAAAATACCCCAGAAGAAGTGGGTATTTGGAGTAGGGGGTACCTGGAGTCTCCATGAACATGGGTTCATGACCCCTTTGTCTTGGTTAATGACGCCTTTTTTTAAGGGTCGTGGAGACTCCAGGTATCTCACACATTCCAGTCCATCCCAGGTTTCCTCTTCGATTTCCTTTAAAGCCACGCCAACAGTGGTGCCGACTGACCAAAAGCCAATTGCACGCTCGAAATCCCTCTTTCTTTTGTGGGTTGCTTTTATGCATAACATGAACAACACTATGGCTTCACATCCACACTTTAAGAACCGCGCAACTCACTAAACAGCTGTGGATGGACGAAATCCTGCACTGGTAGGTTCATCTCAGTATTGAATTCGTGCTTCATACATCCCAAGTGCCGATCGGAGTGTAATTTGGCCATCCGCATGTCGCTTCACAAACTATTTTGCTTTTACACCCCCTCCCCCCGAAAAGAACAAAGGCTAGCAAACAAAGACACAGCCTGGACCAAGGAACCCCAGGTCTCAACTACCCACCCCCCGGAACGTACCTACCCCGCTTGGGGATTCCATCATTTCTCACGGAAGTTGTCTTCTTGTTCTCCAACCAAATCCGCCGACAACAGACGGCGTGTTGGACACAAAAATGCTCCTTACCTCTTTACCTATTACCCCTCCCCTAACACCTCCCCAGGGGCACCGTTTCAGACTATTGTGGGGGGGGGGCGGGGGGGGGGGTCCACGTACCACGCGGTGATTCGAAGACGCTTCACTAAATCTGTTCATTGTGCGGGCCTCAGTTTGTCAAAAACATTGGGGTGTTCGACTCCCCCCGGGTGCGCTTTCGCATCCTCAGCAGCTCCAGAGGCACATCGCCAGCATCACCTGCATCATCCGCATCAGCGCCTGCCAAGGATGCGGATGATGCAAGTGATGCTGTGGATGTTGCCCATGCTGGTGAAGGAAATGAAAGGGGGGAAAGGGGGAAAGGATCTCAACAGCGAAAGGGGTGGAAAGATCTCAGGGAGGAAAGGGAGAAGATCTGGGGAAAAAATGCCTTAAGGGGGAAAGGGGGGAAAAGATCTTTGGGAGGAAAAGGGAAATCTTTCTCGGGGGGAACAGGCCCTACAGGGCAATGGGGGGACAGGATCTCAAACGGGAAAGGGGGAAAAAGACTTTGGGAAGAGAAGGGTGGAGATCTTGGGGGGAAAAGGCTTTAGGGGGGAAACGGGGGAAAGGATCTTAAGCGGGAAAGGGGGGAAAAGATCTTAGGGAGGCAAAGGGAGACGAACTCAGGGTGCGAAAAGGCCTTAGGGGGGACAGGGGGAAAGGATCTCAACAAAGAAAGGTGGGAAAAGCTCTTAGGGAGGAAAATGGAGAAGATCTCAGGGGGGAAAAGGCCTTAGGGGGGAAAGGGGGGAAAGGATCTCAACAGGGAATCGCGGGAAAACATCTTAGGGAGGAAAAAGGAGGAAAAGGGATATGATCTCAGGGGGGGAAAAGGCCTTGGGGGGGAAAGGGGGGGAAAGGTTTGAAAAGCGAGAAGATCTCAGGGGGGGAAACGGCCTTAAGATCTCAGGGGGGGAAAGGCCTTAGGGGGGAAAGGGGGAAAGGATCTCAACACGGAACGGGGGCAAATGATCTTAGGGAGGAAAAGGGAGAAGATCTGAAAGGGCCTTCGGGGGGGAAGGGGGGGAAAGGATCTCAACAGGGACAGGGAGAAAAGATACTAGAAAAAAAAATGATCTCGAGGGGAAAGGGGGAAAGGATCTCAACCGGGGGAAAAGATCTTGGGGAGGCAAAGGGAGAAGGCCTTAGGGGGGAAAGGGGGGAAAGGTTCTCAACAGGGAAAGGGGGGAAAACATCTTAGGGAGGAGAAGGGAGAAGATCTTGGGGGGAAAAGGCCTTAGGGGGGAAAGGGGGGGAAAGGATCTCAACAAGGAAAGTGGGGAGAAAAAAAGGCCTTAGGGGGGAAAGGGGGGAAAGGCTCTCAACAGGGAAAGGTGGCAAAAGATCTTAGGGGAGGAAAAGGGAGAAGATCTCAAGGGAAAAGGACTTAGGGAGGAAAGGGGGGGAAAGATCTTTGGGAGGAAAAGGGAGAAGAACTGAGGGTGGGAAAAGGCCTTAGAAGGAAAAGGGGGGAAATAAATGATCTCAACAGGGAACTGGGGGGGGGGGGAAAGATCTTAGGGAGGAAAGGCAGAAGATCTGGGGCAAAAAGGCCTTAGGGGGGAAAGGGGAGAAATGATCTCAACAGGGAAAGGGGTGGAAAAGATCTTAGGGAGGAAAGGGAGAAGATCTGGGGAAAAAAGGCCAACAGGGAAAGGGGGGAAAAGATCTTAGGAAGGAAAAGGGAGAAGCTCTCAGGGGGGGAAAGGCCTTGGGAGGGAAAGGGGGGAAAGGATCTCAACAGGGAAAGGGTGGGAAAGATCTTAGGGAGGAAAGGGGGGGGAAGATCTTAGGGAGGAAAGGGAGAAGATCTGGGAGAAAAGGACTTAGGGGGGAAAGCCCAACAGGGAAAGGGGGGAAAAGATCTTAGGAAGGAAAAGGGAGAAGCTCTCAGGGGGGGGAAAGGCCTTAGGGGGGAAAGGGGGAAAAGGATCTCAGCAGGGAAAGGGGGGGGGGGAAGATCTTAGGGAGGAAAGGGAGAAGATCTGGGGACAAAGGCCTTAGGGGGGAAAGGGGAGAAATGATCTCAACAGGGAAAGGGGTGGAAAAGATCTTAGGGAGGAAAGGGAGAAGATCTGGGGGAAAAAAGGCCAACAGGGAAAGGGGGGAAAGATCTAAGGAAGGAAAAGGGAGAAGCTCTCAGGGGGGGAAAGGCCTTAGGCGGGAAAGGGTGGGAAGGATCTCAACAGGGAAAGGGGGGAAACAATCTTAGGGGAGAAGATCTGGAAAGGCCTTAAAGGGAAGGGGGGAAAGGATCTCAACGGGGAAAGGGGGCAAAGGATCTTAAGGAGGAATAGGGAGAAGATCTCAGCGGGGGGAAAGGCCTTAGGAAGGAAAGAAGGGAAAGGATCTCAACAGGGAAAGGGGGGGCTCAGTGAGGAAGGGAAAAGCGAGGAAAAGGGAGAAGATCTGAAAAGGCCTTCGGGGGAAGAGGGGGAAAGGAGCTCAACAGGGAAAGGTGGGAGAAGATCCTAGGGAGGAAAAAGGAGAAGATCTCGAGGGAAAGGGGGAAAGGATCTCAACAGGGAGAGGGGGGAAAACATCGTAGGGAGGAAAAGGGAAAAACTCGGAGGGAGAAAGGGCCTTAGGGGGGAAAGGGGGAATGGATCTCAACAGGGAAAGATGGCAAAAGATCTTAGGGAGGAAAGGGAGAAGATCTCAGGGGGGGAAAGGCCGTAGGGGGGAAAGGGGGGAAAGGATCTGAGCAGGGAAAGGGGTGGAAAAGATCTTAGGGAGGAAAGGGAGAAGATCTGGGGGCAAAGGCCTTAGGGGGGAAAGGGGAGAAATGATCTCAACAGGGAAAGGGGTGGAAAAGATCTTAGGGAGGAAAGGGAGAAGATCTGGGGGAAAAAAGGCCAACAGGGAAAGGGGGGAAAGATCTAAGGAAGGAAAAGGGAGAAGCTCTCAGGGGGGGGAAGGCCTGAGGGGGGAAAGGGTGGGAAGGATCTCAACAGGGAAAGGGGGGAAACAATCTTAGGAAGGAAAGGGGGGGCAGGTCTTAGGGAGCTGGCGCCCAAAAGCCAGCAACTTGTCAAACGCTGTGGCTGGCGGCCCCAAACCTTCCAACTCCTGTCACGACAGCCCACACACGAATAGCCCACAGCAGCCATCATGTCACAGCCCACAACAGCCATCACATGACAAATCGCACGCAGCTCTCACCAACAGCTCTCAGTAACAAACCGGCCCTTGAACAACGGCTGACAGAGCAACTGCTGACCGCCGACTGGCCTCGGCCGAGATCTCACCCTTCTCCACCAGGCTCTCGGCTACCCGTGCGAATGCGTCGCGCTCTTGCAGGAGCACCTGCGGCCAAGCTCTCACACGCTTAGCCCATTGAAACTTGCCACTCGACAGAAGATTCTGACAGGTTCTCCTGCAAGCCTTGCCAAGATTGATTACGGTCGACAACCTAGGCCTGCCAAGCTGTGGTTGATGCCGTGCCTTGGTGATCCATGCCTCATTGGCCGGGGTCGCAGTTACCTGCGGCGGGCACTTCGGCCCTTGCAGCAGGCCCACCAAACGAAGTGCCCCGTCTCCTGCAATGACCTCGCTCTGAACTCGCCGAACTCCCATGCGACGCAGCACATCATCCCGCCCTCCACTGCTCATCAAAATCAGCCCGTGCTGGGCATAGAACCTGCCGATATGCGGGAAGCCTCGCATCTGCCGAGCCAGGTCGCTCTTGGAGACGCCCTGCAAAGTCAAACTGCTGCCAACGTAGCCCAGCAACCCCAGAGCGTCTTCATCTCCTCCTTGAACTCCGCCCTCGATCCGGTTCCCATAGACGAACCGCCGGTTCCAAAACGGAAGTCCGCGCTCGCGGCACAAGCGGCACACATCTGAAAGTCTGGGATGATCTTGCTCCTCTGCCACAAGCAAAGCCTCGCGAGACATGGCGGCTAGGTATGGCGCCCACCACCTTGGGCGTTTCTCACAGAGCCGCTGGCGCTGGGCATACACACCGCACTTGTACTCAGGAAGTGCTAGAGAGAAGGGGACTTTCTGGAGGCAATCCTGCCAGGTCTGAAGCTCCTTGTTCATCGCCCTCTTGGTGTCGAGGCCCAGCGCCTCCCATGACAGCTGCCCCTGCCTCAGCTTCTTTGCCTGCCTTGCGGCTGCATGCCTCAGTCAGCACACTGGAAGCTACAAACGCAAGGCGGCAAATGGAGAAAACGCAAATGCCGGGCTCCAAGCGGAGCGGGGCATGGCAGACACCAAAGCTTCATGTTCATGCAGCAGTCAACAAGTGAGCTCAAAACCAAGGCCACTCCTAAACTGCAGCACCAAGGCCAGCCAGACTTGGACATACTCTGCGTGCCGTGGCACTTGACCAAAAACTCCCGGAGCGCAACAGGTGACGGCTTCCCAAGGCGCAGAGCGCCTTGCCTAGAGCAACTTGCGCAGAGCAACTTACGCAGAGAAACTTGCACAGAGCAACTTGCACAGAGCAGCTCGCGCAGAGCAACTTGCAGGGAGCAACTTGCACGGAGCAATTTGCACAGAGCAACTTGCAGGGAGCCACTTGCAGGGACCAACTTGCACGGAGCAACTTGCGCAGACCAACTTGCACCGACCAGATTGCGTAGAGCACCTTGCCTGGTGCTGTCTCGCGCTTGCTTCACGAATGCTTCGTGTAGGGAAAAAGAGGAAAGGGAGAACATCTGGGAGAAAAGGACTTAGGGGGGAAAGCCCAACAGGGAAAGGGGGGAAAAGATCTTAGGAAGGAAAAGGGAGAAGCTCTCAAGTGGGGAAAGGCCTTGGGAGGGAAAGGGGGGAAAGGATCTCAACAGGGAAAGGGTGGGAAAGATCTTAGGGAGGAAAGGGGGGGAAGATCTTAGGGAGGAAAGGGAGAAGATCTGGGAGAAAAGGACTTAGGGAAGAAAGCCCAACAGGGAAAGGGGGGAAAAGATCTTAGGAAGGAAAAGGGAGAAGCTCTCAGGGGTGGGAAAGGCCTTAGGGGGGAAAGGATCTCAGCAGGGAAAGGGGGGGGGGAAAGATCTTAGGGAGGAAAGGGAGAAGATTTGGGGGCCTTAGGGGGGAAAGGGGAGAAATGATCTCAACAGGGAAAAGGGGTGGAAAAGATCTTAGGGAGGAAAGGGAGAAGATCTGGGGGAAACAAGGCCAACAGGGAAAGGGGGGAAAGATCTAAGGAAGGAAAAGGCAGAAGCTCTCAGGGGGGGAAAGGCCTTAGGCGGAAAGGGTGGGAAGGATCTCAACAGGGAAAGGGGGGAAACAATCTTAAGAAGGAAAAGGGGGAAGATCTGGAAAGGCCTTAAAGGGAAGGGGGGAAAGGATCTCAACGGGGAAAGGGGGCAAAGGATCTTAAGGAGGAATAGGGAGAAGATCTCAGCGGGGGGAAAGGCCTTAGGAAGGAAAGGAGGGAAAGGATCTCAACAGGGAAAGGGGAGGAAAGATCTCAGTGAGGAAAGGGAGAAGATCCCAGGCAGGGAAAAGGCCTTAGGGGGGAAAGGGGGAAAGGATCTCAACAGGGAAAGGGGGCAAAGGATCTTCGGGAGGAACAGGGAGAAGATCTGAAAAGGCCTTAGGGGGAAAAGGGGGAAAGGAGCTCAACAGGGAAAGGTGGGAGAAGATCCTAGGGAGGAAAAGGGAGAAGATCTTGGGGGGAAAGGGGGAAAGGATCTCAACCAAGGGAAAAGATCTTGGGGAGGACAAGGGAGAAGATCTCAGGGGGGGAAAGGCCTTAGGGGGGAAAGGGGGGAAAGGATCTCAACAGGGAAAGGGGGCAAAGGATCTTAGGGAGGAAAAGGGAGAAGATCTCAGGGGGGGAAAGGCCTTAGGGGGGGAAAGGGGGGAAAGGATCTCAACAAGGAAAGGGGGGAAAAGATCTTAGGAAGGAAAAGGGGGAAGATCGCGGGGGGAAAAAAGGCCTTAGGGGGGAAAGGAGGGAAAGGATCTCAACAGGGAGAGGGGGGAAAACATCGTAGGGAGGAAAAGGGAAAAACTCAGAGGGAGAAAGGGCCTTAGGGGGGAAAGGGGGAATGGATCTCAACAGGGAAAGGTGGCAAAAGATCTTAGGGAGGAAAAGGGAGAAGATCTCAGGGGGGGAAAGGCCTTAGGGGGGAAAGGGGGGAAAGGATCTGAGCAGGGAAAGGGGGGGAAAGATCTTAGGGAGGAAAGGGAGAAGATCTGGGGGCAAAGGCCTTAGGGGGGAAAGGGGAGAAATGATCTCAACAGGGAAAGGGGTGGAAAAGATCTTAGGGAGGAAAGGGAGAAGATCTGGGGGAAAAAAGGCCAACAGGGAAAGGGGGGAAAGATCTAAGGAAGGAAAAGGGAGAAGCTCTCAGGGGGGGAAAGGCCTGAGGGGGGAAAGGGTGGGAAGGATCTCAACAGGGAAAGGGGGGAAACAATCTTAGGAAGGAAAAGGGAAAAGATCTGGAAAGGCCTTAAAGGGAAGGGGGGAAAGGATCTCAACAGGGAAAGGAGGCAAAGGATCTTAAGGAGGAATAGGGAGAAGATCTCAGCGGGGGGAAAGGCCGTAGGGGGGAAAGGGGGGAAAGGATTCCAACAGGGAAAGGGGGGGAAAGATCTCAGGGAGGAAAGGGAAAAGATCCCAGGGAGGAAAAGGCCGTAGGGGGGGAAGTGGGGGAAAGGGAGGAAAAGGGAGAAGATCTCAGGGGGGAAAAGGCCTTAGGGGGGAAAGGGGGGAAAGGATCTCAACAGGGAGAGGGGGGAAAACATCTTAGGGAGGAAAAGGGAAAAAAACAGAGGGAGAAAAGGCCTTAGGGCGGAAAGGGGGAATGGATCTCAACAAAGAAAGGGGGGCAAAAATCTCAGAGGGGAAGGGGGCAAGGGGACAATTCCAAAGGGACGCAAATAAGAAAGCAGGCCTGTAATGTCGGCGGCCTGAGCCGGAGGCGTTAAAATTATAGTTTCATTTTTTTATCTGGGAAAACCAACCCAGAGGGTCCGGTTAACATTAGAGTAAGGTCTGTTACCTCTAGAATCTACATGATGGTTCTCTTACGGTAAATGGAATCACGGGGCAACATTGTTGGTTCGTGGGTGTTCGGCCAAGTTAGGAAGTTGTTGGTCACCTAGGTTAACCCACGTACAGTCGGGGGTTACACCCCAATTGGCTAACCACTTGCTAACTTGGCCGAACATCCAAGTAGTATGACTTTAAAGGGCCAGACCCGAGACCAAAGGAAACCAGTTTGGGTGTTGTAAAAGCCCGATGCAAGCCCCTTTCTTGAACAACATCATACACATACCAAACCATCCGGGTCCCAAGCACTGCATTTTCCCACATCCAACAATTCCCTTTGGTGCCGTCCAAAAAGCAGTTGTAAGCTGCATGCCTCTCCAACCCTTTCCTCATAACCTTGTTTTTTGTCTGGTGCCTGTCGGAGTGGCACGTGCCGCGCCATGTCTTGCAGGAACTTGGCCACGTCCTGGCGAAAAAAAGTTGGGTGCCAACTTAGGTCTCACAAGCCGCGGGTGATCCTATGATATCCTAACCCAGAGGGACCCTTGGTAACTCATGAGAATGGCTTTTGGGGGGTAAAACGGGGTCCTTAGAGTACCTCCTCAGAAGGTACTTGGACCATCGTGGCGCAGGGGCGACGCTGATCTGTATCGTTTCAATTTGATCCGAGGATCACCGAAGCGAATCCTGGGTAACCCGAAGGTTTCATATAACAAATTCCCGGAAACATGAATTTCGATAGGAACAATTTGCCAATCCAAACACAGCCGGAGTTCAACATGGGTTCCGTTTTTGAGGGTACTCCCTTTTTGGGTGCTTTCAAAGGGAAACCAATTGGTACTCCCTTTTTTGATGCCCAACTATGACTAGAGCTTCAATGGCAGGAATTTGTTCGCTCTGCCAACAGAGGTCACATGCAGCTGCAACTGCAACTCGTGAAGAAAGCCAAGAGACTTGATACCTGCACCCTCAAATTCCCTTCAAATCGGGCAGATTAGCCCAAAAACATGGAGCGAATTCCCCGTTTTGATGTGTGCTGCGGGTCAAACATGGGTACCCAAAATTCAAAAATGGGTACCCAACATTCAACCCTGGCAATTAAATGGAAATATATGAACTAAAATCTGCGGTCCAATTCCTAGTTGCAGCTATGTCTTGAAGGCTTCAATTAACTGAAATCCCTGCTCAGCCTTCAATCTATCGGCATGTAATCGACGAGCATCCGGATCTGGGCGTTGCGCAATTGCCGCCAACCCCCCCTTTAACTTTTGGGAGAAAATATGGACTAACCTGGACGCCCCTTTGCGACACAAATTTGTGTATCAAAAAAAAACTGCTCGTGTGGGATAAAAAACGCTCGAAGCACCAAAAAACGCTCGAACCCCAAAAAAGTGTACGAGCCCTTCCCCTAAAGCCCGCCCTCCTGCCCTGACACACACAGAGCACCTGGGCAACAGCGCGCACAAGAACAACTTCAGCGATTTTGGCCGGGGGCCTCAGACCGATCCGAACTCAGCCTCCCACTGCCTTTTGTACAGGCCAAGGGCTCTTTGGATTGATCTAATTACGCATGTAAACGCGTGAGTTCGCCTGCTGATGCGGCTGCATCTGCCGACAAAATCTTCGTCGCTCCATGTGGCCCAAATGGCCGGCGACATGACACTTTGACACCCCTGTCTCAGCTGGTGGGTGAGGCTCAACCTTGGCAAGATGGTACCGTTGAAGGAAGATTCATTATGCCACACAGGTATTGCACGCTGCTGACGATAGCTAAGCTGAGCCTAGACACGCCACATGAGCAAACATGTGGAGTTTTGGTCGCATTCGGAATAAGCGATGGCCAGCCTTGGCCGTCAGCGCTGCCAGTGTTGCGTATCCTTCCTTAGAGTATTTAATTGCAAAACGGAGAAGTATAGGTGAAAGGTCGTCTGCTTATTGGAACAAGCTGCAATGAATGTCCAGATGTTTTGCTCTAGTTGGTCTGCTTCAGGGCGGCTGATCCAGTTTCCACTTGAGTACACGCATCGCCAGAACTGATCTATTGCGGCGCTAGCCAGCTGCAGCACTTTCACGCATTCGCGGTACTTTGGGTCCTAAGTGTGAGCAAGCCCGCCAAAAAAAGGCCAAGATGGTCGAACAAGATTACACATCTATTTTTTAAATTGCGCGCATGGCTCCACCAAGGCTGCATCGACCTGCCGAAGCTCCTCCTCCAACCAGGATCCGACCACCGCAGCGTCGAACCCCTTCCCCAAGCCACGCGGGTAGTCACCGAGCCTAGGGTCAAGTTTGGGGCATGTCAATTCCTTAAGGTTAAAGCTGCTCTGAGGCAGTTGTTAAGAAAAGCAGCCCGGTGATCTTGAAAGTTTTGAAGGAGAAGTCATCAACATTCGTGCCCTTCTTATGTGTTTCGCAGAAGTTCGCAAACTTCGCGTAGGCCCTGGTAAGCTTGAGGTCGATGGAACCCTCGCCAAAGCGGCCAGCAAATGCCAAAAGGAAGATGCCACCACCGAGAAAGCTTTTGCCGATGCCATCAATGGCGTAAGTGTGAGCCGGGTCTATGCGAATGTAGCGAGGATCCGAGCCAGTTGGTAGATCTCGCAAAGGGCTGCGCCAGCCTCGCTTGAAGGGGTCAGTGGGCTCATAGTCGGAGGGCAGTGTCCTAATCTCACCCTTGACGTTCCACCAGTCCTTGCGTGTGTTCAACCAAGGCAGCAACCTCTGACGTTTAAGATGTTTTTTGGGGGGAACCCGGGAGATCCCCCTGATCACAACAGGCAGTTGTTTTTGTCGACCCCTTACTGGAGCATACATGCAAACTCAGACTCACAATTGCTCACGCACTCCCATCTTCCAAAATGCAAGATATAGGAAGTCCTTTTGCTTGTGGGTTGACAAGGTCCCTATTCCCTTGCTACTGAAGCTCAAAACAAAAAGCCCCCTAAACTGACGAGACAGGTCCCTATTAGTTCCCTGCTTAGAACCAGCGTCAGGAACTAGCCCACTATCAAACCTTGCTCAAGCAAAGCAAAAGTTTAAAACCCGCTTTCATTGACGATCAACCCCTCAAAGGACAGAAGCCGCCGACCCCTTAGTCTAAAACTAGTTGCGTGCGAGACATCACTGGTAAACCTCCGAGCAATCCTGCGGAAGTGGGGAAACAACCCAGCTTGCTTACTACCTAGCGCGCGCCTCACAAAAGGCCCCCCCTGCCGTTTCGTGCGTTTGCGGCGACGGCCGCCTTCAGCGAAGCACTCCTAAAACTCCAAAATCTTGAGCCCGTGCACGCTACCGTCCAAACACATAGGCCTTCAACCAAAATGTTGCGCGAGTGCAAAATGCCGGGTCTCGCCTGCTAAACAGAAGCGCGCTCGCTCAAGCGCGCCAGCTCTGCCCTGCGCCCACTGCGCACTGTTTTGTCTTGAAAATGAACCAAATCAATTGAAAATGAGCCCACCCCAACAGGAGCGGCAACATCCCCAGCATCACCAACACGCCTAGCATCACCAGCAACGTTTCCAACCAGGAGGGGATCCGAAAGAAAGCCCCCAGCAACACCCCCACCAGCGTCACCAGCAATATTTTCAAGACAAAAGCTCCAACAGCATTTGTCTTGAAAAAGCCACCCCGCAACACCGCCAGCATCACCAGAAGCCCTCCCAGAACTATCAGCTAGCCTGACCCATTCGGTGTTCTTTTGGGCAAGCTTCTCCCCTTCAACGTATAGCGAAGCTTCATGATGGACTACGTTTGGGGTTGCAACAGTCAGGAGCGCCACACCTCAAGCGCCAATTTCTCGGAGAAGGGCCTACACGCCTTACAATGAGAGGTTGCCCTGCTCAGAGAAAAAGATGTCCTAAAGCGCACGTTTGTCATTTGCGTTTGAAGGCGGCGTTCAGCCAAGCAGTTCAGCCCCACCCTGCCCTTCAAGACGAAGAGTTTCAATTGCAACATAATACGAAAAAGGCCGACCCTTCTTGTTTACCAGCTTTTTGCTCTACGCGCGCAGGACTGATCCTGGGCACACCTGGGAGACCCTCGCCCTTCAGAAGGCACGGCGGTGTGCGACAGCATTGAAAGCCAAAAGCGGCTATATAACAAGTAAAAACTGAGCTGCAGGAGTATAACTCTATAAAAAAACATGTCTGGAAAAGGGAGCCGCACTTATAGGATTGCTTGCCCTAGGGCTGGGTCCATTTAAGTAACATTCAAACAGATCTGGTATTTTAAAAATTGATCATTGCCACCTAATTTGGGGGAACGCTTGAAAATCAAAATGGCTTGAGCCCCAAAGGTACAACAGGCCTACCAGTGCAAAGCAGGGGTCCGCAAAGTCGCACATGTGACATTTCCGGGTTGCGTTGTATCCGCTGGCCATCCCCATCGATGCTCTCAGAAAAGGCCAGTCGCCCTTTGTCCCTATAGAAATAAAGCGGAAGTGGTACACGGAGCCTTCCCACATCACCTAAGAAAGCGCGCTATTGCGAGCAACCTGCTCCAATACGCCAAGCCTGTCAGCCAAAATTGCTGTTCGAGCAACTCGGACACCGTCTGTGTAAAGGGTGTTGAGGTCATTGACCAGGCACGTCAGCAAGTCGCTGAAAGTGCCCCTATCATACGGGGCTGGGACCAGGGTGTACAAGAGCCGTGTGCAAAACGAATGCCTAGGCGCAAGGTTCACCAAGAGTGTATGCAGGCACGTTGCAAAGACAAGTAAAAACTAAAGGCATACACCAAGCATCCCTTTCATGTTGGTCTTTCCAGCTCGGATAGGGAGAATGGTCTGGTAGCTCAAGATCATAACTGCTAGTTTCCTCCTCCCCCGCCCTTCATCCCCGTGAAGGGCTAGGGGTATAGTGCTGGACCATGATGATTCTTCAGGGAAATCTTTGAAGAGCGGAAAATTGGGTTCAGCATCACGAAAAAGCCTCCAGAATGATAGAAGCTCCTCCTGGAACTCCGGCAAGTTGTTCATGCTTCGCCCTCCCAACAGAAAATGCCCACCGGTTTTGAAGATGGCGGCCAGCCAGTCCGACAACTTTAGCACTGGGAAATTGACTGGAAGCTTCGTGGCCCTTTTTCGAGTACGAATAGAGGTTGGCACCGCAGACACTTGAACTGGCAAAAGTCTCCCTTCACGATGAACCAACCTGTGTAGGTTCCGGCAAATATGTGAGTCGGTCTTGGTTTTGCCACAGCGCGCCATCCGCCCAAGGACAGGGTCGACAATACCTTGTTTCTGCAAAACTCCGAAAAACAAGTTGCAGCAACACACATTTTGTTGCGTACAACTTGCCAACTGGCCTCCCCTTCCCTTGAGCTGGGGCTCCGTATTTTCGCAATCTATTGTTCGCCACCTTGGCCAGCCTCACCACCCGGGCCGCAGAGTCTGCCTTGGTGCTGCGGGGAGGAGTTAATACCCGCAGTAAATTTATCGATGGTAGAACTACCGTAAAAGATGCTTCG